TATATATATATATATCATATTCCTACTATTTCATGACAGTGGTGTTTGTCATTACGCTCTGTGTGCTGATGTGTGTGACATGGGTATTTGCTTGCAGGTGAGGGCTTCGAGTGCTCAGTGACAGTCGACGACGAGGACAGCAAAGTCATCATTTTTGACAACTGGAAACAGGTGAGTTTACTGACTGTCAGCATCCACCTCAGTCTTCTTAATCTTGAACAATTTAGTCTTTTTTTGCACTCGGTGTGCCTTCTCTCAAAGCCACCATTAACTTCTCCTGGTTTGACATTCTTTGGGTTGTTAGATTTCTGTGATGGGCACATTATTTGTGTGTAAAGAGAGTGTGCGTATGCTGTAGCTTTCATGTGTGTGTCTTTGTGCTACACATTGCAGGGAATCCTACAGGAGCAGCTGTGCCCGTTGTACTCAAGCTTTTTCGAAGTTCTCTCGTTCGGAAAAGTGGAAATCACTCTCATGTTAACCTTGCTTGTTTCAATTGAAATCTTCAGTTAACAAGAACATTTCAGCGAGGGCTTAAATTGCTCCATCCACTGAGCGGAGCAGCGTGAGTGCGTTAATATGACCCTGTGGCGATGGCTTTTGAGCAGGAAAAACTTCAGCTGCAGCAGGCAGAGACAAACAACATCTTGTCCCAAAGCTCCTCGTCACACTGATTACATTGTTTGCCAAATCCAAAAGCATGCAGTCATTAATACCTATTCATAATGAGATGGAACGGTCGAACACTCTAATTAGAGTGTAGGTTGGATCATGTCTAATGCATTTTTTTCCAGATGTCCACTCGGCCTTCAGGGGCTCTCCCCATAAGGTTAAATTATCCTCGCTCTGGGGAACTACACCGAACGCTAGATCATTGCTTCGCTTCCTCACTTTTTCCGTAAGCTCTCTCCACCCTTTCTCACCCCCAATTTTGTTGCCCTTCCTTCCTGCAGCTGTCATCATCTCCAAATCTCACTGCCCGTTCACTCTCTTTGTTGCTTTTTTTTTTTTTTGTGGCGCTTGCTTGCCTCTCTCCACTGGCTCTTTTCTGTGGTGGATAAATCTCGAGTTAATTACATGTGTTATTCTGTGCGTGTTAATACGAGGCAGAGCATTAAGGCTGAAGCAACAGACCCAGGCCAGCAGGGAAGCTTGGAATAACTCCAAGGCCGTCAGCAGTGGGTGGGGGGGGGGGGGGGGGGCAGAGAGGACTGGACGGCGTCCCGAATCATCCGCCAGTTCATGCTCATGTTTCTTTGCTTTATTTGTGGCGATGCCCATTGATAAAAGACACATATACAGTATATACACATACGGACCTAGAAACTTGCACACAGAGAGTGAGGTGTGCAGACACATGTTGTCCAGCTGACTAACACACGTAGTGGCCTCGAACTGGCACAACATTAACCGCCAGTCCCATGAGGCCGGGCTGCAAGTGTTCTCCATGGTGCACCACAACCTACACCCAAGTTACCATAGCAACATGCAGACACACACACACACACACGTACACTACGCACATAGAAAATGCTAGGATAGCATAGTCTCATGAGACTATGCTAGAACAGTCAGCATCCGATGCTGTTGGCTGTGGGGCTTCTTATGTTCACTGGCCAGCCCGGACAGCGCCTCATCGTTGCCTTGCGATACAAACTGCAAAAAGATAAAAAACTGTTACATTCACACTCAGTGATTGTTCCTTCAAGTGCTCTCTTGGCTTGACTCACAGCTGATTGACACATGAAGGTCTAGCTGGTGCTGTAATCTGCCCAACTGCAGTGCACAACGAGAGCGGCGCACAACAAACCGCAGGTAGAGCTTGCCACGAGTGCAGAAACATATATGGACTGTGTGTGTACGTGCATGCGCCGCATCGGCATTGGTCAAATGTGTGGAACACACCAGCATACACACACACACACACACACACACACAGAAGGCTGAGAGTCTGCTCAGCCAGACACTGGGCCGTTGTGAATGTTGTTGCCGTCACGTGGGGTTGGATGGTTTAAATAAGTCATCCATGGGCCCAAAATAGAAACACTGGCATACATGGCCTTGACCTACCCGGCCCATGCTGCCGTTCGCCGACTGATGTGGGTTGTGTAATGTATCTCTTAAACAGCCGACTGGGTTCTGTATGTAGGGGAACCAAGTGGGATATGGAGGTCACTGAGGACCAGAGGGGCCCTCTCACCCTTTTTTTTTGTAATGTGTGTTTATCTGCCTCAGTGTCTGCGCGCGTGTGTCAGCAGATATTCTAAGCTCGAGCCAGTCTAGGAGTCCCCATTATTATTTGATAGCTTGAAATAAAAATATATATCAAAGACAACCAAAAGGTGCAGCCTGAGGCCTGTACTTGGCAGTGATGTATATGTGTGTGTTTATCAGCGTGCAGTGAGGAGAATTTGCTGCTGCCCCCTGAGGACAGAATTGTTCATTGTGTTAAAGCAGGATGTCATTTGGAAGAAGATAATTGCTGCTTGACCACATTCTTTTGCTCGATTAGGAGGGAAGAAAAACATTGTCCCACCATCCAGTTCTTGGAACAGAGACAGATTTTGGCGTTGTCCACAGGGCGTTTCTTCCCAGGACAGTTTTCTCTTTCCTGTTTTGCTCTTCTGCAGCCTTATGAGAGTCATTCTGCACGATTCACAGTTTCTCCTTTGTTGCCCTAATCCACATAAGCTATTATACCTTAACAGTTCTGTTTGTTTTTGCCTCCTCTGGGAGTCACTGCTCAATTTGCTTGTGTGGAATACTGTGAACCAAAATACAGAAATGGAAAAGCTTCATGCTGCATTGTATTTAAGGGATAAATATCAAAATCCTATCACATTTTGTAATGAAGCTTTCCCAATCAGGTGGACGGCGCAAGCTGAGAAATTCACAGAAAGCTTTGATTGTCTTTACAGAAAAGACAGAAGAGACACATTTGAACTGACAATACAGCTCCTTCATAATTTTATCAATAATCCAATTTAAAAAATAAAAAAATCACTGGAAGGGTCTGAGCTCTCAATGCATCATTTCATGTGTACTGTGGCAGGCCTGCACAAGTTATAAACAGACTCAAATCGAGTTAGAATCACAGTAGAGATAGCGTCCCATCACCGAAATATGATGCGATGGTCGTCTGTTATCGTAATGTTTACGTGGACCTGTGTACCTGGTTCCCTGCCCGCGGGCCTGCCTGTCTGCCTACCTGTAAGCTATTTTCATAACGAATCACTGAATTCATCCTGCTGCCTCCCCAGCCTGCGTTTGGGCCCTGTTGCCCTGCATAACCAGCCGCAAGATTCCATTCCATTCCATTATCCAAACCGCTTATCCTATTCAGGGTCGCGGGACACTGGAGCTGGAGCCGATCCCAGCTGACATTGGGCGAAGGCAAGGTACACCCTGGACAGGTCGCCAGTTTATCGCAGGGCACATATAGAGACAGACAAACATTCACGCTCACATTCACACCTACGGGCAATTTTGAGTCTTACTTGTCCTGGAAGAACACAAGTATTGTGACCTCTGACCCCTCTTGGGGTCAGAGGTCAACTACAGAACAGCATCCCTGAAACCGGTAGGGATTCAGGGATTTGCTAATGACCACTTTAGCAGGCTGCAGGCTCCACATGCCGTCATATTAAAACCTGAATCTGGGTCACTCCCTAAACCACCCTCCTGTGAGTGTGTGTGTTTTGTGTGGTCATGGCATGCAACAGTCTTCACATGGTTCACCATGTCTGTGCTGTGATGTAAGCTGCATTCGGTGATAATGTGGTCATTCGTGGTCATTGGTGCTTGGCTTACGCAGTGTTTATGCATGTGTGTGTGTGTGTGTGTGTGTGTGTGTATGTTTGTGGCCTAGCCAGTGCAGGCCAGATGGCCTCTGTAATAAATTCCCTTAGGGAAGCGTTGTCTCTATGCAAAATAAAGTCATCAAGAGAAAAAATAACAAACCCACTAACTCAGCATTCCATCTCCAGTAAGCTTCGTCATCCTCTTATCAGATTTTGACTTAGCTCTTCCATCTCCTCTTCTCGCTTCTGTCCCCTCTTCCTTCCCTTTCCCTCCCTTCATTCATCACCCCTGCATCTTTATTGATCCTGCCAGCTCTTTCATTTTCCCCTGACAGGCAGTAAGACAGATGGACCACACGCCAAAGAAGCAGATGTGCACAAAGCACGTGTTTGCTTTTGATAAAGCAAAGTGGTAGCATTAGCATCTCTGTATTTATCTGTGCATGTGAGCGCACTCTGTGGATGTTTGTGCAAGCAGGTGGGGAGGTGTTTGACCTTTGTGTTTCCAAGTTAAGCACCTTAAGCTGCTTTGCTCATGTATCTTGTTCTGCAAAGCAAATTGCTTGGGAGCCAATAGATGCAATAGCATGTCGTATGATGGGGGATGAACACACACATGTGCTCAAGCACTCTCTCAAAATGGGGCCAAATGCTGTGTTTTCTGCCTTGTTTCACAACTGTGAGAAATAGTTCGAGTGCTCGCGGCGCCACAGCATGTTATGCAAATGACGCCTGATAAGTGATTCATTTTCCTCACTGTTAATGGTCACTGATGTGGTGTCTGGCGGTAGCACGATGGTGTGAGTGTGTTTTTGAGTGCATGTTAGTGTATGTGTGTTTGTATAATGTGTATTGTCTCTGTGAAAAGCTTGTGAAACGTATGGAAATTCCTGTTTAAAGGCTGTTTTTCCGCCACTGACGGCTCAGCTGCAGCTTCTCACTGCACACAAACTATTATAAATCTCCTTTTCAAATAGAAAAATCATGTCTGTATGTTGCGCTGATAAGAGCGAGGTTGGAAACCATGCTTTCCCTTTTATTGGATGTTCTTTTCTTATCTACATCTGCGGCAGAAAGAGCTATCAATCTGTCAATCCTTTCCGTGTCCGGGCCGGGTGAGGTTTCCCGTGTTGAGTCAAATTAAGCCGCAGGCTCCACTCCTGGTGGTGCCCTTCCGTCAATTCCTTTAAGTTTCAGCTTTGCAACCATACTCCCCCCGGAACCCAAAGACTTTGGTTTCCCGGACGCTGCCCGGCGGGTCATGGGAATAACGCCGCCGGATCGCTAGTTGGCGGAAAAGGGACTTCTTAGAAAGGTTGGTTTGTGACCCTTTTTTTTAAAAACGGTGGAACAGATAGGCCTGTCTGTCAGTTCATCGTGGTGTTTGAAGGCTTGAATGGTTGCCCTAGTGGACAGAATGAGAAGCTTCAGCAGAGTGGAAAGAAGAGCTCCAGCCAATGTATCAGCATGGTATATTATCCGCCGATAATGGCATATTTAAAATATACAGAAGTGGCAAATATGTTTTGGGTTATTTATAAAGAGTAATGTCATTATCCTGCTCGGTATTGTTACATTTCTTTATTGACCAAATGTAAGAGGTCCTTATCAAAAATTTAAGTTTATGTTGTGTTTCATGGCCTCAACAATTCAGCACTAGTGATAAATTTCATTAAAGTAAAGCTATCAGTAAGATAGATGGTAATATACAGTCAAATTATGTGAAACGACATGAGGCATTTGGCAGAGACACTCCAGGATTTAGCCCAAAGCAAGAATCGCTCATCATTATTTATTCATAATTTCAATATAGAGCCAACATTGTAGCGTTGAATATAAATGTTCTTAACTTTCAGCTGTGTCATTATCTGAGGATGGGGAGCTCAGCCTCAACATTTGGAAAACCTCAATCTGGAAGCACACTGTTGTTTAGAAATATCATTGTATGCTCTCTTGCATTAAAGCCGCCGAAAACATGGATTCAGTATTTCCATTTCATCTGAAATTCACTGCTAATTGGGTAACAATCAAGTATAAAGTTTGGTCCCAAAAAATACAAAACATAAAGTATAATCATTAAGACATTTAACAAGCAAATAGCAAACAAGGCTTCAACTGTCATCACACTTTGATTCAGATGTTACTAAATCCTGCTTGGTTTATGGAAGTGCGTGACATCACCCTTTTCCAATCGGGTCCCGCCCACTTCAAACCAGTGAGAAGAGCCCAGGCAAAGCACTTTGGCCAGAAGTCTTGTGTTTACGTACGACCCCATTGCTCACAGTAAGAAGATGCTTGAGAATATAGGTTCCCAGGGCCTTAAGAGCAAATTCCCTAAATTAGAACAAAGGGGCTTAGAGCAAACCACGAAAAACAGCCACAGACGAAAAGTACACCGACATATGTTGACCGAATATGTGTCCACACACTTTTGGCTAGGCAGTGTAGCAAGGCTGTGAGTGTAAAAGATGATGCCAATCAAGTGAAACCTCACAAAGCAGACGCATTTCAGGGGAAATGGCTTAGTCAGCCCGATGACGTCTTTGTTATTAAGTTGATTTAAATGATATTTTCCTGAATGCTCACTGATCCGTGTTTATTTACATATGATTTGCATATTATTCTCTCAGCTTGGCTTTTGTTTTTGTGTGTTAGTCCATGTGAATGTGTGTGTGTGCGTGCGCATGTGTGTGCGCGTATAGGGGGAGTAGGTATTGACAGATGGTCTGCTCTTTGTGAACAGAGAGGAGCTGCTTAATCGAGAAAAAGAGGGAGATGGAGGGGGAGAGTTGGCGCTGTTCTGAGTTGCTCTGCCTCTGTTTGATAGAGAGGTGTATTTCCGTGGTCAGTTTTTCTCCTGAAGCGCTCCATCACACTCCTAGTCGATGTCCACTCTCTGTTTGTACTCCTATATTTACTAAGATTCGTGTCTCTCTCCATTTTTCTCTCTGTCTTGTTGTTCCCATTCTTCATCCTCATCCCTAAATCAGACAGTGACAGGTGGCGGAGCTGCCTTCCACGCCAATGGCTCCGTGCCCTCCTCCTCTCTCCGCTCCCTGTCTTTTCCTGTGCTACGTCAAACAGAGTGCCAAGGTTGCTCCCCATGAGTTTCCTGCTCCGGGGTCTGATCCGATACTACTTGGCCGCTTGAGGCCACGTGAATTTTTCAGGCATCTGAAACTCTCTGGAGGGCAGGGATTTTCCTTCGGGGCTGTGGATGTAGGGCAAGGGCATCCGTGCACTCGCACATACACACAGACAACATGCAGTCCACAGCTAGCGGTCCGATTGGGTTATCTAGTGGGAATAACATGTTTTCAGATTGATTAAGTCACCAGCTCCAGAGGCCTATTTCCAGTTGAAATACAACGTGATTGTGTTTGCAGTTCTGTAGGTCAGAGATTTGCAGTGTTTAGAAATAACACAGTTAGAAAGTAATGGATTAAAACCTCAAATAGAATTTGACCAACCCTCTGGGTATCTTCTGAGCTCAAGACTGTAATAAAAACTTTATTTCCTGGTATTTTGCTATAAACAGTGAACAGAAATACTTTGTTGTTGCAGTTTACAGTCACAGTCTGTGCTTCACTACAAGAAACCTATTTTACAATAGGTCTCTATTTCAAAAACAGAGAACAGGACTTTGTCTGGCATAATACTGTGGAGCCTGGTCTCAGGTTTCTGTCTTTGACGTAAGAATAGTTTGTATTGATTGTGCTTGTCCAACTAAAGATAAGATGTCTTTTGTTTTAACCTCTTCACACCCACAGGCCTGGAGTAGCACTGCTGATTCCAGAAGAACAGAACCGTAAACTTAAAATATAGTGAGGATGCCAAATCAAAACTGTTATGATTGAGATTAGGTAAAGACATTTTTTTGTGCAAGACTAGTAATGTTTTCCATTTGATGCAGCGTTCCAGGCCGAGTAGAATCACTGAGACTCTGGATCAAGCAGATATATGTGATGTTGTCAACCAGAGCGGAAACATATTTCTTTATCTAACTTTGCAGTGACTTTAAGGGAATTGTAAAGCAGTAGTAATTGGACGATTTGAATGCTGTAATCACAACATGTAGCCGATAGTTGCCTATTTACACATCCAGCAGACAACTTCAGCATTTATTTGGGTTCGTTTGACCTGTTTTTTAACTGGCTTTAAGGGGAATATGAGTAACCACAAAATAAAAGGTTGATGATCTTCGGCCATATTCTAAACAAAGATGGTGAATCATTTAAAAAGCTAAAATGACGTGAGACATAAATGGTGCATATACCTAATCCTCATGACTACAGGCGTCGGACTTAAATCCATAATGTGATTGCATTTTACTCTACATTTCACAACCACAGGGAATTAATTTCACTAAAGCCTGAACCATATGGCAAAGCTCATGCATCTCATATCACTTATCAAATTAGCTGACCTTTGCTTGATAAAGAATTAGGTCAACAATTGATTAATTGGGAGGCATTTGGCCTTTGATGCTCCCTTGATATGATGACTTTAGTTGAGATTTTGTTCGAGGTACATCCATGAGAACCTTGCCATGACCTATTTAACAGCCGTAAACCACCTTCAGTCCAAAGTGTCTGATAGAACGCAAGAGAGGACACAGAGGGACCTAGACTAGGCAGTTCAAAGCTGCTGCTGCTGCAAGAGCCACTCAGGCTAATAGAGCCTCTGTGACAAGAAGCCCCGATGGGATGTTTTTATGGTCAGGAGAAATCAGATTTTAAACATGTTGTTCAAGGACAAATTGTTATCTATCTCTGGCATGAAAAGGATCTTGCATAACCTGACGTCTCACACCTGTTCAGCTGTCATCGGACCGCTCCTTTATGTATGCAGTACTAATCTACTCCACTGAGGTGTTTTATTAATGTGTGTTTTTATATCCACAGGACTTCTCCACTCTACAGTGTGATGTGTGTATCCTGGTCTTCTCAGTGACTGACAGGCGAAGTTTCCACCGCACTGCCCAGCTCCGCCTCCTTCTCAGGGAGTCCCAGCCACACACACCAATCATCCTGGTGGGGAACAAGAGCGACCTCGTCCGCTCCCGTGAAATCAGCTCAGAAGGTTAGCAACCATATCTAGGCATGGCAGGTCTGTCAAGCTATGGACTCCTCCTAGCGGTGAGAGAGACCATGGGTTTGATGTGAAGAGTATAGAGTGGCATAAGAAAGTCAGAAAAAATGTCGGATTATAAAATGCCATAAAAAATGATGTATATGTATGTTGCAAAAATGATTAAAAAAAAAAGTCCTTTCAAAAAAAGGCTTTAGAAAGTAACGGCAAAGTATGTCAAAAAAGTCCTCGTATAGTATGTCGAAGAAATCTTCAAAAAGTCATAGTATGTAATGTCCAAAGAATGTTAAAAAAAAGTCGTAGCATGCATAATGTTGAAAAAATGTCATTGTATAGTATGTTGAAAAAAAAGTCACAGTATAGTATGTCGGAAAAAGTCAAAAGAAAGTATAGTATGTCGAAAAAAGCTTTAACAAGTTAGTTACAACTAAAAGTTGTAACTTTAAATTACAACTTTTTGTAGAATATTTTTGTATGTTCGAAAAAGTCATAAAAAAGTCATAGAGTATAGTATGTTGAAAAAGGTAACAATGTGATTTACAATGCATGTAATTAGTTAGTGTTTCCTGGACCTCTGAGCGAGTGCTGTAAAGGCTAGAAAAGCTGCGCCAGTCAAAATAGAAGCGCTCCATGAAAAGTCATAATTCTCACTTATCTATTGGTTATAAGTCCATGGTCCAGATACCATGGCGTCTGGGTCCGGACTTGGACTATAGAATAGTATGTCAAAAAAAGTCATAAAGTATCTCAAAAAAGTCATAGTATGTCTAAATATTGATTAAAAAAAAAGTCGCACAAGGGTATGTCAAAAGAGGTCACAGTACAGTATGTTGAAAAGAAATCATTAAAAAGTCATAGTATATTAATGTTGATAAAAGTCAAAAAAAGTAATAGTATAGTACATCGAAAACAGTCATGAAAAGTCATATAATAGTATGTCAAAAGAACAATTTAAAAAGGTCAGTCTATTTATTAAAAAAAAGTAATTGTAATAGTATTGTATAGTATATCGCAAGAATATTAAATAAAGTCATAGTATAGCATAGATGTTGAAAAATGTCATCCCATAGTATGTTGAAAGACTGATAACAAAATCCCAGTATAGTATGACTAAAAAGTCATAGTATAGTATGACTAAAAAGTAAAAAATAATTTATAGTATAAAATGTCATGGGAAGTCAGAGTACAGTATGTTTAAAAAGTAATAGTATAGTATGACGAAAACAGTGATGAAAAGTCATATAATAGTATGTCGAATAAATTTGCAAAAAGTCAGTAAAGTAAGTCAAAAAAGTCATAGTATGTCTAAATAATGATTTAAAAAGTCATAGTAGTGTATCTTAAAAAATTCATATCGTATGTCGAAAAACGTCAAAAAAGAAAGTATTTTTTCCAAAAGGTAAAAGTATAGTATGTAGAAGGAATGATTAAAAAAGTCATTAAAGTCATAGTATATTACGCCATGAAAACGTCATTGTATAGTATGACATTAAAAATGTCATACTATACTACAATATTTAAAAATATTTGTAAAAGTATTAGTATAGTATACCATAAAAAGGTCATAAAATGTCATAGTATAGCATTTCATAAATATGGTATTGTATAGTATTTTATAAAAAGCATAACCCAGATATAAAAACAGGAATATTACATAAACAATTATATTCAATCCTTTGTTCTTTAACTACGCATGAAAGGGAGCCACACGCCGTACTGTGGAGAAAGGCATCCCGTACGTGCAAAGCAAAGGTAACCGTGGCAGGCTGGGAGTTTACCAAACGCTTAGTTTGCATCTGCCCAAACACGAGCACTGATGAACCCAACCGCCAGGCTGCTGGGTGACTGATGCAAGAGAGGAAAAGCACGAGAAAGATTTGAAATTAATCTTTTCATTCGCTTCTTTTTACTGCCTTTTTTTTAAGCAGCTCTCCAAATGAAACATCTCAAATGGAAAATGTCTTGTAATTACAGTGTCTGTATAAATGTGTAGTTAGGCACATGCACACATACAGACACATTATCCCCTGGTGATCAGTGGTAGTGCATTTTGTGCAATTACTCATATATCCCTTCTTTTTACCATCTTTACCCTCTTTTCTCTGCCTCGGCTCATCTGTCTCTCTGCCCTGGTATTTTACCATAAATCTTCCTCCAAGCCAATATCAGACTCCATTTAAAAGACTCATTGATTTTGCTGATTACAGATAGACACCCCGTTTCTTTGCTGTTTAATATATCCAGGGATAAATGCTCAGTTGGTAAACTTCTTGTGGGAAGAAACTTCTACTATCTATTATTGTTGTAAAGGGCTACAAAAAAAAGACTGTTTATGAAATCTATTTACCATTTGTATGTTGTTTTACCACATTGAGTCATACTGGGTGTAATCTGTAGGCTTTTTGACAATGATGCTGGAAATGTCTGCACGTGGGGTTATTATGACAGACCCAAGTCATCCAGCTGTCACAATAAATGAAATGACTTGTGTAATCCAAGTGTGCGAGATCATTTCAGCTTACCTGTATTTTTAAGGATAAAGTGTAGATTTCCAGGTAAAAATGACTTCACGTAGACAAAGATGCATTCAATACAAATCTGATTATTACATACCTCACAATCATGAGTGGGTATAATAATGAATGCAGTTGATTATTTTGTGTTCGTATTCAATTTAGGTACATTATTATTATTATCATCATCATGATTAGTATTTTGCGGTCGATCATTGTCAAGAAATCCTAAAACCATCCAGTGTGATTTAATGTAATTAAAGAATATAAGACATGGAGAAGTCCATGGGGGTGAATATTGTTATAGGCATGTGTAAGTGTTGTTTTGATGGAGTAATTAACAATGCAAATTGAATCAATCCTCTAAATCTGAGAGCTGGTAAATAGCATTGTGCTCTATAGACCTCTATATATTTTAGCTTGCAACACTGAAGCGTGGTTTTGGCCAAACGAATTACCTGAAGAAGAAACCCACTGAACAGAGATCAGCAGGTTATACTTTTGCTGGACTTTGAGTGACTTTGAGTGACTTGTGTGACTTTGTGTAGCCCTGGCAGCCCATCCTATTGCCTGAATTTCATTAATGTTTCAAATGCAAAGTGGGAGAAAATGCTGACAGAACAGTTTGACCTTGATTTGAACTTCCACTCAAAACTTTAGTCATCTCCGCAATTTGTGTGTACTTGCGTTACACTTTTCGTTCATAACAAATATACACTGTCGCATAACGAAAGACAAATATTCCGCTGCTGTTGCACACATTCCCCTATCCGTCCCTATCTAATCCTCTGGAGGGGCTCCATCTGTGTCCCTTTGGTGCGCGGCACACGACATCATCTCTGCTGGGATTATCTCCCTCTTACAGGACCCCGCTGCTCTGACTATCTTTATGTATGTTTGTACTCGCAATACGTGCACAACCATGTACACAGACGCGGCGAACATGCAATCGAGCAGACTCGCGGCTTCGTGTCTCTCCCATCAGCTTGATGACAGCGAGGCTGTTTCATAGCGAGGACTGTGATAAGAGCGACGGGAAGAGGAGAGACAGAGGGAAGAGCCAACGTGTGAGAATGGTGTGTGTGTGTGTGTGTGTGTGTGTATGAACGGGAGTCTCGGTTTGAAGAGATGTATGGAAGGCAGTGTGTGTGTGTGTGTGTGTGTGTGTGTTGAGAGTGGGGCTTGTTTTTCTGTCCTTGAAAGAACCACTGAGTTTTTAGACCTTCAGACTGAGGATGTTTTTATAAGAGGGAGGGAGGCTGTATATATCAATTTGCATCTTTTTGGAATATCCTATCCTTCCTCCCTCAACCTGAGAGGTTTTAAAGTTATATTGTCTCATCTGTATTCTGCAGACATTGCCAGTGACCAGAGGTGAACTCCACTTTCAGATACATTAGAAGTTTAAATTGCGACTCCTCACAAGAAGAATCCATTCAGATGGCAACTTAATGTTAGCCGTCACTTTACTCTTTTAGCATTGAAGTGTTTTTGATGTTTCCGACTGAGTCAAATGACTCCCTGTGATGCGAAAAGATTGCTAGTCAACACACAGAGAAGCCTACATCTCTGCAGCTCTACCACGCTTTTACTTTCTTTCTTTTGGTTCCCCCACAGCAGATAGACACCAGGCCGTATGAGTGAGACCCACTGCTCTCGTTAAACCTCCATATTAAGCCACAGAAACGTAGTACGTAGGCCAGCCAAGTGTACCGGCATCACAAAACAGTAAAAAAAAGTAGCTGGGAAGTCGTCTGGAAAGCTAAAGTCCCTGATAATATATTGGTGAAGGCTGAAGCAGAGCTACGTGCAAGGGCCAGAAACCTGATTCAAGTGGGATGTATGGGTGCGTAGTAGTTTAACACTTTATCCAAAAGAATACCACATGACTGGCGCTTAATTAATCAAAGCAGCCTGATGTTATTTGCCAAAACCACAATATGTTTAGGTTGTCAATGTTACTAATAATGCTTTTTAGGGCTGTTAGTTGACAATCACACTACATTTAATAAATCAATGTTAACCCTTAAAACTTAATCAGCGGCGACAGGGACTTTAAAAAAAATGTCTAGAGGAGGGATTGTCTTCTATTTAGTGTATTCCACAAGAAGTGATGTTTGGGGATGTTTTTTTTTGTTTGTTTTTTAAGTAATTTTCAAATTTTTTATATATTTAGAAAGAAATAATCAACAGTTGTAAAAATCTGAATTTGTATTGTCTTTATTGTTTTAAACTTTTGGTATTTTGTTCTAATGCTACATGGAGTCTTTTGGGATTAAGTGTGTGTGAGTGTCTGTGTGTGTATTGTCTGGAAGTGTAGAAACTTCCAGTGTAGAACTTCAAGTGTAGAAGCCTGGGGGTCAATTCTTGTTTGGTTTGCGTTGTTGTGCAAGTTAAACAGAGGCAGCAAGTGGAAAAAAATGTGTGCGCATCGATGCCTGCACATCGCTGTCGAATCACGTTCGGTCGCGGCTTTGGAGTATTCTTAATGACGCGAGTGGAAGAAGGAGGGAGGAAGGGAAGGAGGCGAGGAATGAGTAATGAGAGATGCCTATACTCAGCATATTCTCTCTTGATAAAAAAAGAAATCCAGAGGCAGCGATGTGGTCAGCGATATGGAAATGCTCCATCCCTGCTCCCAGGGCGCCTGACAAGGATGTTCTTATGTTCTCTCCGGACAGGTCACATGTACTCTTTCTGATATGTGAGCCTGACGCCTGCCCGGCTAACTAACCTCCCCCTTCAAGAACCTGCGGCCTGGCTGAGAGTGCCAAAGTCATAAAGTCTATTTATGGCATATAGTGACATTTTTATTCTGCTACCTCTCAACTAACACCCCCACACACACACACACCCACACACACACACACACACACACACACACACACACACACACACATATCTCTCTCCAGTCTTACTACACACAAACACGGTGTCACACCGGCAACGTATTTATCATTTGTTCAATATGGCTGTGGTGTGGCCCTGCTCCTCAGGGCTTTGATTAATATGCACTCTGGCTCCGTTTGCTTAGTCGACATTCTTTCTGCCCGTCTCTTTCTCTCTCCTCTGTCGGTCTGTCTCTCTCTGTCTCCTTCCTCCCCTCCTGCTGCTTGTTCATCTGCCATCTTGCCTGTCCTCCCCTTTCAGTGTCTCCTTCGACTGTCTTTGTGACTCGCATGTTTCATCCCATTTGTTCTCGTCTCCTTTTCTCGCCTTGTTTCCTCATCGTTTCCTTTCTTCAGCGCAGTTCAACTTTTTTGGCCCATTAGGGGGAAATTTCCTCATTTCCTCAACCCCTCTCCTCTCCTCGCCTCTCCTCTCCTTGCCTCTTCTCTACTCGCCTCTGACTGTTTACACTTCTTTCCTCTCCTCATTTCCTCTCTGCTCCTCTCGTTTCCTAAACTCTACTTTCCGTTTACTCCCTCTCCTCATTTCTTCTCTGCTCCTCTCGTAGTCTAACTCTTGTCCTCCCCTCCTCGTTTCCTTTTCTTGTGTCCTTTCTTCTCTCCTCTTTTAATCTCCCCTCTGCTCTCTTCTGTTGTTCTCGTGTTCCCTCTTCTTTCCTCTCCTCTGTTTACCTTTCCTCTCTTCCCTTAGTTTCCTCTCTTTTCCAATTCAATTTCCAAAACATTCTTTTAACAATTTGTAAAGATCTAGTTCAATTCAATCATCTGTCGTAGGCATTAGGATAAGTCCCGTTGACCTGGTTTGGGACTTGGCTCACCCACTATTAGGTGACATTGCAATGGGTCGACAGCTGCTGTGCTGCTGGATTATTACCCTCAAATCAAATCTAGTTCTGTTTATTTGTAGTACCTGTGCAACACTGCCTCAGTAAGTAAAAGTACATGCTGTTGACCTGCAGCCACAAGACAAACAGATGAACATGTCACATTGCTTTTACGATAGTTCAGAGTACTAAGAAGGGGTTAACTATGGGGCGTCTTTAGTAAAACATCTTCAGGTACACATTGAACTGCTTACTTTTATTTTCTGTTGCTGGAGTTTACTTGAACCCATTTGAACGCATCTATCTCCATGACAACTGAGCAAACTATGGACTGATGAAGAACATGCAACTGAAAGCTCTTGGAAAAAAGGCCCTTGTGTTAAGATTGTCTACAAGAATATTTTGTTATTTCCCAGCCTGGGTGTTTCTAACATAGAATGTGTGCATGGCAGCGACATCTTCCTGCTTCAAACACTGTGCAGTCATTTTGAGTTCATGCAGTGTAAGTTTTATACAGCTATGTTGAATGGAAATGATGAACCTTAAAAGCAATATTCTGCACACAGCTGCTCAAGAGCACTCTGAGGGAGCAGAGCAGCGGCAATAAAAAAAAATCTGAAATATAGTTGGAAAGAAATGTTATTGGAGCTGACAGTGAAGCCCATTTGCTGCAGACTGATCTGTATCTGCCAGCTTTCCTTATCATCCAGGCGTGTTTGACCAGGGACAGACGGGACTTTTTGGATGAGATACTGAACCTTGTCAACAACACGTTTAGTCACCTTTCCCTATCCAGAGGAGTCACATTGAGATAAAAACTGTTTTCTGTTTTTTTTTTTTCATTTCAGTGCCAGCAAAGAGATTTGAGCTTATACAACTCAGCTCGTGACAACATTAACTCTATCCTGACATCACCGTCTCTCTTTCTGGCTGTTTGTATTCATGACTGTTGATTGACAGATTTTCAAAAGGAATATTTTAGGGCATTAAAATGCAATAAAGGCTCATTGGAAAAATGGATCTTTATGAATGTAATATTAAAAGCAGATGAACATTTGTTTTAAATATATTTAAATTTTCCAATTACAGCATTTTGTATCACTGGTGCAAGCTCTAGGTTTAACCATTTCTTGCTTTGTGACTTTTTAATCATTTTTGTATTACATTTTAATTTTGTATTAACTGAACATTGACTGAAGGACCTTTGAACTACAGTGGTCAGTGTAGGAAACATGACATCTGAATGAAAATCAACTTAAAAACAAATCTAACAAACAGCACACATGAACATATTTGTGAACATTGGTCAAAACTGACCGTATTTTTTGACAAAATCCGGATTAAAAAAAAAATAATCAAGGTCCCTTTCTCCATCAGTGGATGGAGTTTGCTTGGTTTTCACGGAGATGGATATTGTGACACGCAAGCTCAGTAACTGTTATGATTTCATCCGTGGGACTTTTCTCAACCTTGAAATTGACAAAACAATCCCAACTCAAGGTTCATTTACTAGCTTTTTGTTGCTTTTAACTGGATCACACGGTCCTTTTCAGTGGATGGAGGTTTGCTCTGCCACATGTAAACAGATCTATCTCCATGACAACTGAGTAAACTTCATCCGAGCCACATGGTTGAAATCTCTGGAGGGAAAAAGCTACCAAGTGGACCTTGAGTTGTGATTATTTTGTCAAACGATGAGGGTTGGGGATTGTTTAAAAAAAAGTACGATGCCACTACCGATACCATGCGTGTCCCCACTGGCTAGCTAACTGCTGCTGCACTGCGCTCACACAGCTGATCACCCATGCTCCATACCTGTTAGCGCTGTTAGCTGCTTTAGCCGCCACCCCGGAGTTCACAATCAGAATCAGAATCAGAACCGTTTATTTTGCAAGAGTATGTTGCACATACAAGGAGTTTTACATGGTGGATGATGCATAATGGATAAGGATCCATTGCATGCATCGTTTGACTGGAGAAGTTTCGATGCTAGCCTAATTGTTACCGGGTTATTTCAGGCGATACCTTGAAAAGGTATCCAATACTGTTCCCCAGACCTACAAACTACTATCTACAGGGTCAAGAATGGACTTCCATGTTTATCTTAAATATGATCTCCATCATACAGTGTGCAAATGATAATAAGCGTAAAGTTTAAAAAAATGCCTATTTTGTATCCGTTGTAATAAATGAAAATCCCCAAAAAACATTTTCCCCTTTATATCTATTTCTCTTTCAAAAGCACAGCAAACAGAGAGGTGTGGCCCTTCCCCAGTGAGTGAGATGCTGTAGATTGGCTCCATTTGTCTCAATTTAATGTATAAGAAGCTTCACATTAACACTTGAGACTCTAATAGAGTCTCCGATACATCTGAGTGCGCTGCTGATGGAGAGGTACTGTATCTTGTGGTGACCCACATCACACAGCAGCTGCTGTGGTTTGCTGGTTTTATTATCCAATATCTTAAAATTCCTGCCTCTAATTGCCATTTGCAGCTGTCATTGTGTGAAGCATCAAATATATATAATGTGCACCATACCAACGTCTTCCTCTCTCTCTCTCTCTCTCTCTCTCTCTCTCTTTCTCTCAGAAGCCCAATCCAGCAGCATGATGTTTGACTGCGTCTACATGGAGCTCTCAGCCTCCCTGGACCATGGCACCAACGAGCTGTTGGAGGCCGCAGTTCGGACTGCAAGGGGCGACTGCGTGGGCCCCGGCTGGACCGACGGCGACCCCGGGGCAGGCCGCAGGGAGAGCCTGACCAGCCGGGCCAAGCGCTTCCTGTCGGGGCTGGTACCGCGCTCGTACGGTCGAGACCGGGATCGGGATCGGGGCCGCTACAGGGAGATGAGCCGCCACCGGGGCAGCAAGATCCTTCGCCAGAAGTCCCGCTCCTGCCATGACCTCAGCGCACTGTGATACACACATACACACACACATGCAAAGAGACACACTCGCACACATACACACCAGATTGACGGATATGGGGGAGGTGTAAAGGATGGAGAGGGAGAAGAGGGTAAAATGGAAGATAGTAGTGATTTGCAGATGACTAGATGTAGCGACAAAGGAGGAGATGGAAGAGACTCACATGAGTGGTAAAATTAGAGGGGTGGAAGGACGGGAATTTAGCAGTGGCGGGTAAAAGTCGAGGAAGGAGAAGAGAGAGAGAAAGTGGGAGGAAAAGTTGGATAGATAGAGCTGAAATCAGCCAGGATCGCAGCACCGAACTTCTGTGTTCCCCCCTATCAGTGAAACCAATTTTGCGAGAGAAAGAGGCCAGGTTGGAGAGAGAAACAGATAAGGAGGTGAGCTTGATTTGCTGCTTCCAGCTTGGGTGAATCAGCAAGCGCTCATCACCTGATGAGAGAGCAGGAGAGACAAAATTAGTGACAGTGGAGAGAGTCACATCAAGATGCTGATTGAATGCTTACTGTGGCGAAACGGGACGGGGGAGGGGGGGCGTGGGGGGTCACAAAAGAACACACATCCAAGTAGCACACACTGATTATGTAGAGACTGATAGCAATCTGATAGCAATCTGTGTACCTGTTGTGAACCCTGTTTTATAGCATGCCGAGTAGACGATCTAAGACGTGACCCTGTAGGTTTACAGTTACATGATACTGGGTTGACTGTACCTCAGTGGCCAATAGCTAATGCACAATCCAGCTAGTGTCTCTAGCAATGCCATCTCAAAGGCAAGACCCTTTATTTATGAAAAAAAACGAAACAAAAACGAAATGCACCTCTGCGCATTTTTTTTTTTTTTTGGACCACAATCTTCACACTGCATCCACCGATTGTGTCCCGTACTGATTTTGAAGTGTTTGATGATACCACCAATGGCATATGTTCATGTGTGATTTTTTTTGTTTTTTATACGAGGTTAAACACATCAGCGCCCAAGCCATATTTCCGCTGAATGCACCGTGAGCGATCAGCACAAAGAACCCTTTACCGAAGTATGTGGAGCGAAAAAAAAGGTCAAAGTGGCTCTGAGGAATTGACCGGACTGAACTTTTCTTCAATAGAAGCTGAGTCACAGAACACCTGGAGGTTCTTGAGGCACAGGAGGACAAACAAGAGAAAACCTAATCTACCTGTGGCTGTTTGATGTTTTCTTTCATCTCTCTCTTTTTACCCACGGGCATTATTACGTGTTGAGACGGAATTCTGTGGAGGCTGGCCACACAAGTGACCCAAAAAGAGAACGTTCTGGAAACGTTGTTTGGATATCTCGTCAAGCTTGAGGCAGCGTCACCGATACATGCTCACTCATTTGTCACAGTCTACTAAGCACTCTCGTCTTTCCACTGAGAATAAATATGTTTTTGTTTGACATCCTGAATGAGTGTCTCGTCTTTTAAAAAAAAAAAATATATATATATATAACAATGTTATGAACTCAATGTCTCATTACAGCCGTTACCAGGTTGAGGGATGGCATGACGGGTCATCAGATGACTCGCAGGTCCTCTAGACGGTCTCTCGGGACAGTTCTATTTAGGACTGAGCGGCAAAAAGATGCAATGTCAGCACTTTATGGCTGTAAAATAATCTCAGGTTGAAAATAGATTGTCATGGGAGAATATGAGCTGTCCTTACTTCAAGATGCATACAGAAGACATGCCTTTTGGGAGATCTGTCAAATTACCTGCTTTAAAGATGAAACTGCTGTTCACCTCCATTCTGTTGATAAAGAAAACAAAGTGATATCTTTGAACAAAGGCAAGTCAAAGAAAAACTGTCTGCATGGCTCAGTACTACTCGAGGTAAGTGAGGAAATGTGGATGAACTGACCTTAATATGTCTCGTAACTATGCAAATAACAAACGGGACAGAGAACTTGGAACTCTTCTAAAGCTGGAGGCGACCATAGTCTTACTTGATATTTCTGCCGCAGGTTAACCTCATGTACTTGTTACTTAAATTTCCGTTTTTTCGAAGCAGTCTGGTCTAAAAATGAAACGCTGTTTCAGTTATTATTCTCCCTCACTCCACAAAACGTTAAGCAGCGGTGGAGGCATAGGACACCGTCTAAAGCTACACATGTGGCAGTTAGTTAAGACACAGTTCCAATAACAAAGTAAGTTAGATCAGTTAGTTTACAAGGATGATTTCTGGATCAACAGTTTGCAAAAAACACTTTTAGATTAAGTAGATAATAAAAATTGGACACAGTTTAAGTCAAGGTGGTGTATAAAATGCAAGCAATGAATACCGCAGATAATGATCTACGAATCGGGGTTTGATTCCTAAACAGGTAATAGTTGATCGGCCTATTCCTTTTTACACAATGCACCAAATAAGCATTTTGGTTCAACGGGCAGGAGTCCTTCAAAAAAAACAACAGCACAAATGAAAACGTCTCTGTCAGCCTGTCTGCTCCACCTTCGTTTGAGCAGGTGTGGAGAAGGGCCTCAGGCCCACAGTCAATCACATGTGATCACATCAGATAGCTGTGGCTTTCAGCTTCTGATGCTGGTACAGTAACTATCTGGAGTGGACAAATGGGAGGACTCTTGAGAGGAAGGCAAACTGGCAAACTGGCAAACGGGTTGGGGGGGGGAGAGAGAGAGAGAGAGAGAGAGATAGAGAGAGAGACGGGGTTGGAGAAATGCTTTGAGGAGTAATAGTTGCTTGGAGACTGTTGTCAAGGAGACAGAGTCCTAGAGTCCTTTGGCATCTCAAACGTCCTACATTTATGTTGATTTTCAGATAGAGGAGCTTCTTATTTGTTTTTACTCTCCCCCCCCCCCCCCCCAGTATGTGAATGAGAGACAAGCAGCGATAAGGACGATGACAAGGCGAACACTTCAGACTGGTTTTACACAATATGTCTCTGTGGACAGACAATGACACATGAAGGATTTTATCACCCTTAAACAGGTCAGCTAACTGTCAGATAATAGCGTACATTTAACAGCTGCACAGAAGCCTGCAGGAAGCCGGAGATGGAAACGAGGACAATATGACTCCATTTATTTTTGTGACACCCTATCAGTCTCTCAAATCGTGACAAGAAATCCTCCCTCTCCCTCTGTGTATCTGTCGCTGACTCATTCTGTCGGTATTTACTGGGGGGTTTTTCGGGCAAAAGAATCATTGTCGAGAGCAGGGAAGACAGAGGGAGATCAAAAGCCGCAGAAAAAACACCCACTGTGTGCCAGTGAAAGCCACTCCAACATACTGCTCACTTTGCACCGAAGAAAGACTATTTCCAGTGAGCACTGTGCATAACTAATGAGATGCAAATTTCCCTGAGGTGTGGGTGTAGGCACATTATTTTGGAGGTTATATTGGAAGTGGTCTGTGTATCTGGGGATAGAGCCGGGCATGAGGAGGATGCAGTGAAGGCCGCATTGCTGAATCCCCAGGGGAATCCGTGTGATTTGTTTTCAAGGGGCAATGGTCTCATTGTACCCCAGAAGTCATTGTTCCTCTGCTTTGTCTCCCGAGCGCGTAGATTATACATGCACAGAGCTTTAATAACACACCACAAAAGGGAGCAGGAGTGAGGGAAAGATAAGGCCAAGTGGTTGTGACAGCAGGTTGAAGATGAGGGCACAAATCAACCTCATTATGGGCTGCCGAATGCCTCGTGCAATGCTCCCCCACGTCTCCGGTAATGTGGATTCATAGCAGGTCGAAAGGCGAGAGCAAACCCTGTCTTCTGCAAAATATGGCAAACTATAACTATAGATGCCGTCACGAGATTAGTATTGATCTCGACATCGGCTGACATGGATGTGATGGATACGGTGCGGTGCATCAAGTGGAACTGGGGTCTTAGCGTCCGAACAAATGCAAAAAAACATGACTGCACCTAGCAAACACTATTAAAGGAATAGTTGGACCGTTTGGGGGGAAACAAATTGCTTTCTTGCAGAGAAATCCGATACCAAATTCACGTTTGTGTTAAATATGAAGATGGAGCCTGAAGATGTTTAGCATAAACACTCAAAGTGGGGAAAAACAGCCTAGCTCTGTACAAAGGTAAAAAAATAAAAAATCGACCTAAGAGCACCTCTTAAACTCAATAATGAACTATTCCTAATACATTTATTTCTAATTTGTACAACAACTGAAGGTTGTTTTTTGCTGGACTAATTCTTAGTGCAGTGATCTATTATATAGTTCTCTACATTTAATGTCTGCTATCATGTTTGGTGCCTGAATTCTGGTATGAAAGCTGTGCACTATATAGTGTCTGCTACTTTCTGCTTACAATCCCACAAGGCCATGTGTCAAGATCTATAGATGTAAATTATAACAATGCTGCATAAGTGTCTGAAATCTCGGTTTACATGCTCACCATTAACTATTGAGTGTCTATTAGCCTTCATTAGAAGTGACTGAGTGAACAATGGATGAACCATCAGCCAGGTTACAGCTCATTGTGCCGGGCTAAAAGTGTATCTGGCATAAAAACCCACACACACATACTGTACATACTTAAGCACTGCGTAACTCGTGTGTCACTCAAGATGATTTAATGCATTATGCATGTTTCTCACTAATAACACGTCACGACGAGTTTATGTGATTAAAGCTCAAAGGATCCAGAAATCTGATTGTGACTTTAAAAAGCATCACGTGTGTGAGGAGTCACTGCTCACTGATAATTAATTAAAGCTCTAATTACATCAACTCATATTGACTTGATCATCTGCTAATAGTGAGCGACAGGAGGCATTATGAATGCATTAATAGGCAAGTGATTTGAATCCTTCTTATAAAGTGTTACCACTTCTGTTCATCGTCGACACTTTGGCTTTATATTCTGCAAAGAAAGGAAGAGGAAACATTAAGATGCATCCAGTGGAGACCACAGGTACAGCACCCATAACCAGGACAGTGTTGCAGGACGGACACTGATGTCGAGTTTTCAACGGTAATCAGTGTTACTTGCTTTGATCACTACAAGCCATCTTTCATTCAGCTTATGTGTTAAATACAGTAACTACCTTCCTTTGCTGAGACTTCCTCTCCAGCTAATTATATGCCTATTTAATTCCATCCTATGTTCTGAGACTCTAACCTGGTGATATGTATTGCACTATACATCACAATACATCAGTCCTTTAGCAGACGCTTTTATCCAAAGCGACTTACAATTCAGATTCTGTCACACCATAGGCACAGCTACGGGAGCAACTTAGGGGTTAAGTGTCTTGCTCAAGGACACATCGACATGCGACTATAACCTCTGACCTGCTCTTCACTTAGCCACCGTCGCCCACTATATATTTCCACTTAACCCACATTTGGAGGGGAAAACACTATTTAAAACATTCTCCAATTAAAATACACATCAGAACAACTGAACACAACCTGGAGCCTTAAAAGCACCAGAGAGTTGAATCAGCACATTGTTGACAGTTTTAAAAAGGTAGTATTCATTACAGGACTAGTGTTGGACTGAAGTACAATGTAGAATAGCTTTCATTCTGCTTAAGGTCTTACAATGGGATTGAATGAATGTCTATTTGTTAAAATGGCTTTAAAGGATGTAAAACAAACAGGTGGTTTCCTATAGTGTGGTCTACACCTGACATATAGGGAGTGTGTACAGTATGGAACACTGCATGCCGTCTGTGTGATCACATCAAACTGTGAATAAACTACAGTGTATTTATTACCCAGGCTTATGTTGGGCTTTGTAGTTGTTCGCACACTGATAACATGCGCCTTCTCGGCCCTCGTGCTTCTTCTCCACTCAGAAGCATCTGCCAAGATGAAGGCCTTCCCTCTTCAAATCCATACATAATCAATGTTACCCTCTGTGACTAAGCTAATGCGTCTCCCACTGGCCTGCCACAAGAGGAGCTCGCTGCTGTGGCACACAGCCATATCCTAACAGCCCGAATTTGTTTGTGTTAAGGAATTATGAGGAAGCACAACGTCCAGGAGAACAGAAGACCGATATACTTCAGACCGATACATTTCCCCCCAAATGTATAGTATTTGCATGTACAAAAAACGCTATTACAAATTTCACATATGCATCCTTACAGGCATAGTGCCTCAGCTTTGCTTTTGTTATTAATATTCAGCAACATCAACTTCTTCAGTGTTTTCTTAAGTGACTTTAGGTTCACACATTAGAGCTAGTGTTGCTCTACTCATTTAAAGCAGGGCAATACTGGAGAACTCAGAGGATAGATATTACACTAGCACCCCCTAGTGGCCATGCTGCTCCTTACATCACATAGTAGTGGACACAGCTACTTTTGTGCCAAAAGACATATTTTCAGTTCATCATATTTTCTATAATTAAATCTGAAACTTTTTGAAATAATATTACATCAAACATTTTGATCCATATAATATGTAAACCCAGGAGTGGAAGTAACAAATTAAATTTACTTCTGGACGAAGTTGTTCTTTTGTGTAATTGCACTTTTGAGAATATTTAAATGTAAAGTAACATAACTTTTACTTCAGTACTTTCTGTCGGCCCATATGCATGTACTTCACGGGACTTTCCGGGACCCCAAAACCACACATTTTGCACTTTCTCTCAATTTTCAAGAGACAGTAATGAATAAATACGACGTCTGCTTACACCTTGTAATCACTTAGATTAGTTGTACACCGTTTTGCTTGTGTTCCGACAACATTTATGGCAAAGTGTGTGAAAATGGCAATATTCCCAAAACATGGTGCAACTCTGATAATCCAGCAATATTTTTTACATTTTTTACATTTTTTGTGCAATAGCATTTACATAACGTTGACAAAATCTAAATGAAACCGATGAATCGCACATATGCTATTCTATATTAATGTTGTGCAATTAAGTTGCTATTTATCTTTAGCAGCTCCTCATAACCTGTTAAAATTATTTACATCAGAGATTATTTGAAAAACTAAAATTATGTGATGAAATAATGATATTCTAATGAGGAGGATCCGTGCTCTTTTTGAGGAGGTAAATAAATAGCACACAAATAAGACATATTTTTCTTATTTCTTTCTTTATCCAATTACATAGCAAAAACACATTATATAAATATTTTATTTTACGCAATAATGTCACTGAAGAGCTTCCTCTTTTTGGACTCTCCGCTCTGTATTTCCTGCCAGTGGGCTCTTCTGTGGGTGAAGTGGGAGAGGGCAAATTTGGCCCACACATGGCGAGCAAACTGATGTGACCTCAGCTGGCTTTCACTCAGCACTGGAAGGGGAGACGGGAATGGAAGTCATTGACAGGGATTTTAAAAAATGATTTATTATTATATACAGTATATAAAATTATATTAACACACACACACACACACACACACACACACACACACACACACACACACACACACACACACACACACTCTTTAAGTCAGGATCTGTGGGATGATTTGTATTACCTAGTTCCTGTGCGATGCTTTGCCTGTGACTGACTGAAGCACCGTTCCATATGGCTTCCAGCACCCGACTACCCAGCCTGGAGCAGGCCATGGGAGCATACTGGCCCTGGGACGGCAAATGGGGGAAAAAATGGAGAAAGAGTGATGATCTATGCTGATAATGTTCCACTTCAAAACTGAAAAGTCAACAGAAATGTTTATTTCTTCGTACTTTTGACACCAAGAGGTCAGATACAAGAATATGAAATAAAATCTTTTGAAACTATCTATGAATTGATATAGTTTTGGTGTAGTTTCTTGTTAATAACAGATGTTCATAGTCTCGACCATAACAGAAAACTAATCTGGTGTAGATCAATGGCAGCAACAATACTAGGGTAGGTTGTGGCATTTAAACAATGCTCAATTGGTACCAAGGATCCCAAAGTGCGCCAAGAAAAGATCAGCCACACCATAACGCCACCACCACCACCATCCCAGACTGTTGATACAAGGCAGGATGGATCCCTGCTGTCATGTTGCTAATCTCAAATTCTGTCCCTACCATCTGAATGTTTTTCCTATCTTCTAACTTTAGAGAGCCTATTGTAGCCTCTGTTTCCCGTTGTTAGCTAAAAGGAGTGGTGTGTGGTCTTCTGCTGCTGTAGCCGATCTGCTTCAGGGTTCGACGTGTTGTACGTTCAGAGCTGCTCTTCCGTTGTAAGGCATGCTTATTTGAGCTACTTTTGCTTACAGACTAGCGATAGAAAGCATCCGGACTGGAAACATTACAAACTGACAATGAATGTGGACAGCCCAGGACGGGAGGGCTCAACAGCAGGGGATCAAAACCAAGAACATCATTGGTAACCATCTACCGAGCATCAGTGATATTGATGACAAGAGGTGCCTGCGAAGAGCCAAAGGAGGATACAAAAAGACAAAAGACGGTTCACACTGCTGCCTTCTGGCAAGCGATGCAGAAGTATCAGCCTCGGTACCACCGGACTTCAGAGCAGCTTCTTTCCTCAGGCTGTCAGACGTCTAAATTCATCCATTTTGTTGCTCAAACCTGTTATGTTGTACAATGATAATAAATGAACCATGTAAACCAGTCTGGCCATTCTCTCCTCTCTGCCCAATGAACTGCCGCTCATTGGATAGTTTCTCTTTTCTTGGATCATTCCCTGTAAACCCTAGAGATGGCTCCGGTAGATTATCAGTTTATGAAATACTCAAACCAGTCTGGCTTCAACAACCATGCCACGTTCTAAGTCACTTATACACTTATTTTGGCTTCTATTTTGCTTAAGATCTCACAATGGGATTGAATATATATTCATGTCTATTTGTTGAACTGGGTTTAAATAATGTAACGTTGTTACTGTGAAATAATTCAATCCCTCAAAGCAGCAGCGTGGCCTACTCCATATTAATGGATATTCTTGAAATTCTTATTTTCAACAAATTACACGAAAAGACCAAAAACAAGCTAAACCAGACTAAATGTCAGTCGTACTATTTAAAACTGCAAAGGGAACTGCTAATAGCTAAATGTAAAAATGATCATGCTGCTGAATGAATAACCAGCTTCCTATTCTAGAATACTCTTATAACACCGCTGCAGTCCTACCTCCAGTCTCTTGAGGATCTTGCCCCTCCCCTTGTCGCTGGATGTGGTGATGAGGGCCTGGAGGACGTGGCTGCCCGAGGGGTCAGAAGCCAGCGTCAGAAGGTCAGCAGGGGTCAGAGTGCGCAGGCTGCTAAGGAGGAGTGAGCGCTCCTTGAACTTGGAAAGCGCCTGGACCAGCCGAGATCCGTGGTAGCAGATGGAGGACAGCGGTACCTAGAAATGATCAACAACACCAGAACTGCAACTTTCCGCATCTGGTACATATATTCAACATCAATATGCTAACAGGGTACGCTCCAGTTCTCAAAGGGCCGTCGTTTGGTGCGGCTTTGCACTAAATATGAAACTCAAATATCAAGACATGAATTAAAATCCAGCCCCAAATGATTTGATCCAACTCCTCTCTGTCGTTTACCTCCGTCTGTGTGCTGCCCTCTGCTGTGTCAGAGTGGTAATACACCTCGTAGGTGAGCAGGGACATGAAGAGAGGGAGGCAGCTGACGTGTCGGGAGCCGGGCTCAGCACAGTGGAACGCCTGGGAGGCAACACACCAACAAGGTTTCCATTACCCACGAATCAAACAGTAAGTAGATTTACTGTGTCGTTACGCACTTTTGATTTCAGTCATGAAGAGGGAGAGATAAATAAAACACGCTCATTGTCATATTGATTTAAGACCGTAGCGCCTCAATTACAGACACCCTTTGACACTTACACGGAGGAGGCACTGTATCAACTCGTCCTGTTTCTCTCCGCCTTCTGCACAGCTCTCGGCCAGTTGGACAATCACACCCATGTGACCCTTGGCCAAGATGGCCTCAATACCTTGGATCAGCTCATCAAACAACCCCAGGAACTGCGGAGAAAGAAGGAGAGAGAGAGAAAATCATCCTCCCATTCACAAAATCCTGACTTTAATCCTGCACCGCGTGACATGCCGACATAATGACCAACCAGTTTGTATTTGGCCGAGGCTGCCGTTAGCCTCTGTATGGGGAAGTTGGCGATGGAATGGAGGGCTAAGTCCACCAGCTGACCCTTGAGGTGGTTCTTGTAGAGGTCCCGGAGGAGCGACTTGTGGGATAGCTGTATGATCGTCTCAATGAGGCGACTGGAGGCCGGGTCCTTGAGAAAGACTAGAAGGGGACTGAAAGGAGTGCAAAAACAAAAAACCAGCGGTTACATAACATGCCATGGCGAGTCATTCCAGGACAAAAGGGAAACCGGTGTAAGAGTCGTCTCTGACCTCACTCCTGGAGCGGCGTTGCGAGTTGTCAGGTACTCCGTGGTGCGTTTGAGGAGCTGTTTGCAGAGTTTAGGCCGATTTCTGTGGCACACAGTCAACATGGTCTGGAACACTGCACTGGGAACAGCATCCGTCACACTTACTAGGGAGGAAAGAGACACAATGGGAGAGGGGAAAAGGCTTACTGGACGCACTCTACTGCCCCAAAATGCAATTCTGCTCTTCAGACTATCCAGTGGTGGTCTCTGAGGCAGACGGTTTAAATAATGATCCAGTTGGATAAAATAATGAGGCCTAATGGCAAGTGAAGTTAGGGTTAAGAGGAAGAATGTGTGAGCTCACGTTTAGAATGTATTATACTACTTCAGTGTGATCAGTGTTGTGGTAATGGCACAATTAATCGTTAACACCGAAAATTCATAGTGGTTGAGTATGTAGTGTGCAGATTGTTAGTCTTCTTCCACACTGCCGGTGCCTTATGGGGCAAATTGCTACTCTTCTTTGTTTGTTAGCTACCGCCACCCACTGTAGTGGAATAGTGTGTTATCTGAAGCGATGATAAGCAGATATGCAGGGCTTCTCTTAGTTACACCATAGCCCTCATCTACCCTCATACTAGCACACCATCTTTCATCAGAACAGAACTGTGCCAGCCTCCTTCACTTCAAAGGCATATTAGAGGAGCTGCATCTCCGACGCACATGTGGGCCTTCTCTCCCGTCATCCAGACACTCTGTGTTCTGTTTCAAAATGATATTAAGAAAACAGAGTTTCCTTTAGTCCCTGTGCAGCAGAGCTCTATTAAAAGCTTAGGTTTCTCTGCAGCCTGTGCAATTGCCCCGAGGTTATTTATTGACTATTTTGTTTTGATATTAAAAAACGGCAAGGTTGGATTTATCATTTGAATTCTAAACAAAATCCGGTGAACAAAAACCTGTCCTTGAGCACTTCCCCTTTCGCCCCAAGAGACCTCGCTTGCATTTAACAGGATTAAATGTTTTTCTGATTCCAAGAAAAAAGCCACAACTGCCAGCAGAGTAGAAGAAGAGACAGGCTGCATCGATGAAAAGTGTCTTCAAAAGGTCATGGGTACTTCACCCACTATTCAAAATGTTTAATGCACACAAACAGTACAACTATAATAACCTTAAGAGTCACTCATTAAGTGTTTTGTAAGACCAACTGTTACTCCTCTTCAATTTCACTTTTCTACCACATCCATCAAAATGCTTCTTTACCGTGGATCTTTACATATTTTCTTTTTTTAAATATTCAAAGTCATAAATGAACTATTTAAAAACCCATAAACAGTTTACTAACAGCAGCAGCCTGTTTACGTCTTGCCTACATTAACAGAAATAGATACAGTTAGTATCCTTTGCTTCGCAATACTGTGATTTTCCCTCCGTGAAAAAGCTGACCATAACGCAAGTCTTCTTCACTCTGGCAACAACTAGGATTAGGATTCATGTGCTTGGGTTTGATGAAAGACGACTCACCATTAACGTTGTCCATCAAGGTCTCCGTCAGGCTTTTCAGCTCATACCAAAATGACGTGGGAACCTCAAAGTCTGTCAGCTGAGGAGCAATGTTGCGGTCCTTTGCACCTGGAAAAAAAAAGTATAACAAAAGACGAGTTGAATGCAAGCTCGATGCCACAAGCCTGTGTGTGTAGAGGCCCTGTGACACACTCAAAGAACTAGCACTGACAAAGCCAACGGATCAAAAGCTTGATTTTCTTCCCATTTCTCTTGTTGAAAAAGAAGAAGAGAAAAGCAGTGACTGAGGTGACCGCCACACCAAAAGGACGAAATCACTTATTTCCTAGGGTGAACAGTCACTCAGAAGGTCGACTAGAGTCAATGTTGCGAGACACTGGGCAGTGCAGGGTCACTGACATTCAACAGCGGCAGCTTTATTAGGCCGGGTGTTCTCAAACACTGCCCCTCAGAATTCAGGCATCGTAGAGACGCGAGGCGAGGACACTGCATGAGGTGAAGCAGACGGGTGCGTGCTGGTGCTCTAAACTCAACTAGAATCTGATTACTGCTTGTTATAGCTTGGCCACTGATTCGACCCGCTTACCAACAGTCACTGCGTGTAAACGACCAAGAAGCCATAGAAAAAAAAGATGCTCCTTTTAACTCCAGAACATGAGAATAAATCAAATATTCTTCGTTATTAAAGAAATCCACTGCTAGCCGTCTGTACATCCATCTGTACTTTGCAAACAGGAACAGCTAAATCCTTATTTGGCAAACTTTTAATGGTGGCTCGACATAGTTCTATGACTTAAATAATGGACTTAATGTTTATCACATACACACATAATCATCACAAAAATCATCATCACAACTTCTTTATACAGCTTCTTGAAATGATTCTTAGTTGCGTCTTGCTTTATCTTAACAATTCCAAACATCTCCCCCGTGATCATCCCTCAAATAGAGGTCAGACAAACAACAGTTACAGTAGGAGTGACAAATGTCCGAGGTGGGGCCCATAGAGTCTGAAGACCCCGGCGTTAGGTCAAGCAAAGAATCTGTGTGTGTGTGTGTGTACCTGGACGAGACTCAGTGCGGGGTGGTCCGAGACAGCCTGCCAGCACATGTAGAAGTGTGCGGACCACGTGTGAGCCATGGACATGTTTGATGAACTCTGTGATGTTGTCTCTCACCACCTGACTCAAAGACAACACCTGGGCCTCCAACAAGTCACAGCTCTCCTTTTCGTCTTCTTCTTCTGCTGTTGTCTCCTTTTGTGATGATTCTTAAAAACGAATGGATACCACAGAGACGCAGAAAGCCGAGTTGTTATTCACCTATTCCTTCCAAAGCGTTTCGTACAGCGATGAGCAGTCCACCGCTCAGAGATGATGCATGTAAACTTACCCGTCCACCTGGATATCTGTCTGACTGCACTCTCCACCACGTGGCCGCCGCACCGGTCGCAAGAGACGGCCTTAAACTCGGACCCCGCTGGATCGCCCAGTTCAGCCAGCACCTCCGCCACCTGGCCAGGACTGCACAGCGGGAGCAGCCGCTGCAGGGTGATGCTTCCCGTCTGGTCCATCGCCACGATCGCCGCTTTACCTTTCACCTCTGTGAGGACATTCTCCACAAACATCTCTACAGGAGAAATATAAAGAGACGCAACAAGAGTCGACAGAGATTAAACACAGGCAGCAATGGAGCATCTACAATATTGAGAATTAAAAAAAAGTTGAGATGAGTAATTTTGACGGTGGTTGGAGTCAACAAAAAATAAAACGGAACTGGACAAAGTAGCCTAACCTGCTTGATATATTTCTGGTAAAATGATGCAATAAGCAGAATGATAGTAAACCAATGTGACAACAAGATGTCATGAAAATGAGACAGTGGGTTTATACAGTGGGTACGGAAAGTATTCAGACCCCTTTCAATTTTTCACTCTTTGTTTCATTGCAGCCATTTGCTAAAATCAAAAAAGTTCATTTTATTTCTCATTAATGTACACTCAGTACCCCATCTTGACAGAAAAAAACAAATGTAGAAATTTTTGCAAATTTATTAAAAAAGAAAAACTGAAATATCACATGGTCATAAGTATTCAGACCCTTTGCTGTGACACTCATATTTAACTCACATGCTGTCCATTTCTTCTGATCCTCCTTGAGATGGTTCTACTCCTTCATTGGAGTCCAGCTGTGTTTAAAAAAACTGATTGGACTTGATTAGGAAAGGCACACACCTGTCTATATAAGACCTTACAGCTCACAGTGCATGTCAGAGCAAATGAGAATCATGAGGTCGAAGGAACTGCCCAAGGAGCTCAGAGACAGAATTGTGACAAGGCACAGATCTGGCCAAGTTTACAAAAGAATTTCTGCAGCACTCAAGGTTCCTAAGAGCACAGTGGCCTCCATAATCCTTAAATGGAAGAAGTTTGGGACGACCAGAACTCTTCCTAGACCTGGCCGTCCAGCCAAACTGAGCAATCGTGGAAGAAGAGCCTTGGTGAGAGAGGTCAAGAAGAACCCAAAGATCACTGTGGCTGAGCTCCAGAGATGCAGTAGGGAGATGGGAGAAAGTTCCACAAAGTCAACTATCACTACAGCCCTCCACCAGTCGGGGCTTTATGGCAGAGTGGCCCGACGGAAGCCTCTCCTCAGTGCAAGACATATGAAAGCCCGCATAGAGTTTGCCAAAAAACACATGAAGGACTCCCAGACTATGAGAAATAAGATTCTCTGGTCTGATGAGACCAAGATTGAACTTTTTGGCATTAATTCTAAGCGGTATGTGTGGGGAGAACCAGGCACTGCTCATCACCTGCCCAATGCAATCCCAACAGTGAAACATGGTGGTGGCAGCATCATGCTATGGGGGTGTTTTTCAGCTGCAGGGACAGGACGACTGGTTGCAATTGAAGGAAAGATGATATCCTGGAAGAAAACCTCTTCCAGAGTGCTCTGGACCTCAGACTGGGCCGAAGGTTCACCTTCCAACAAGACAATGACCCTAAGCACACAGCTAAAATAACAAAGGAGTGGCTTCGGAACAACTCTGTGACCATTCTTGACTGGCCCAGCCAGAGCCCTGACCTAAACCCAATTGAGCATCTCTGGAGAGACCTGACAATGGCCGGCCACCAACGTTCACCATCCAACCTGACGGAACTGGAGAGGATCTGCAAGGAAGAATGGCAGAGGATCCCCAAATCCAGGTGTGAAAAACTTGTTGCATCATTCCCAAGAAGACTCATGGCTGTACTAGCTCAAAAGGGTGCTTCTACTCAATACTGAGCAAAGGGTCTGAATACTTATGACCATGTGATATTTCAGTTTTTCTTTTTTAATAAATTTGCAAAAATTTCTACATTTGTTTTTTTCTGTCAAGATGAGGTGCTGAGTGTACATTAATGAGAAATAAAATGAACTTTTTTGATTTTAGCAAATGGCTGCAATGAAACAAAGAGTGAAAAATGTAAAGGGGTCTGAGTACTTTGTGTACCCACTGTATGTATTTAAGTGAGCAGGTTACGGGGGTAATTAACTGGAGAACGTGTTTACATGCACTGTAATAATCTGGTTATTACAGTGATACCTACTGTAATTGTAACAGAAGATTATTTCTTCTGAAATGAGAGCAGAGCGGCAGCTAACGGTCCTTTTCATTATCGATTAATCTGCCAGTTCGACTTATCAATTTATTTGTTTATGTTAGAAAACATTGAAAACTGTTCGTCACACTTTCCTCAAGGGGACATTTTGAAATTGCTTGTTTTGTCTGACCAATAACGCAAAGATATTTGGAACTCAACAAATATTTGGCAGCTCGATATTATAGATCTGACAGTTTGAACCGTGTTATAAACTTTAACAAGACACGTTGACAGGGGATTTTCCATAACCCAACATTACTTAAAGACTTTATTTTCACCGTATAATGCACTTCAAAGTCACCAACTTTTGTTGTAATACGGTGGTGTACTGGTGTCATGTGCCTTTCTGATGCACATTCCAGGTGTCTACTTGCTCAGATGTCCAGTAAAATAATCCCTCTCACCTCTCTCCTCCTTTTCTTCAAAGCCTTCGCTGAGTCTTTCCCCAACTCGGCGGAAATAGCCCACACTCAGGGGGTCCAGGCGCTTCCTGCCACCGTCTCCTTCTTCACCTCCCCTCCTCTTCCTCTCTCCTCCTCCTCCATCTTCACCAGGGTGTCTCCTCTTCTTTCCTTCACCTTTGTGTTGCTTCCTTTCCTCTGTTTTCGCCAACATAGCATGGACTTAACAGCATGCAGGTTACGAGAAGAATGACTTGATCTTGTTAGAGAGGATGCTCCGTTTGATCTTCTGGCTAAAACAAGGAACAACACAAAGTCATCGTTGGGATTTGATGGTCAAGTCCACATCCTCCGGAATTACCAAACGGCACATCTTCATCATAAATGGTTTACACTGTACACTAATGTTTTGAATTAGGCCTACAGTCTGGTTCACGGAAAAAACAAGACTTCACCACTAAATATGAAAATTTTTTAATATTTTGAATATTATAACTGATTGTACCCTGATATAACATACTAAATGTACTCAAAGCACTTACAAATAGAACAATGCTGCATAGTACTGTGCTTCTACTACAGAGGAAAACATTGAAGTACTACATTTACCTAACACACACATGTTGCTGGTTATTCTGGTGATTCAGATTTGACTTACAAAATATAAACAAATTAAAATATGACGCATTATTATTAATTGAACTATCAAGCATCATAGAACTGAAAGCTCTACCTTGTTCTTCAGGAAACAACATATTCAGGCATATATTAGAAAAACACCGTCCAGACAGTCATACGTCGTGTTTTACGAGGTCATTATGGTTGCCGATAAGTTGTGACATATTCTTTATTACTGACATATTCTGTTCAGGCAACCTCTAACGTTACATATAGAAGACGATGGCTGAGGAGGCGTCCACGCTAACTCCATGCAAGAGAACAAAACTAGCTCGATATTTCACTCGAAACAAGTGGACGTCTTTAGCAAATTGTTGAAGGCCATCTTAATGAGACATTGGGCTTAATTCGTGCAAAATATGAATCGATACAAACTGAATATGTGGAAGGCAACACAATGTAGTTTAACTCACGTGCGGGATAAGATCCAGAGACTGCGTGTTATGGCGCGTATTGATGACGTAAGATTCGTGGGACCTTTTCTTCTTCGACTTCTTTAATGGTGGGTGGCGACTACCGTTAACGGTGCATTACCGCCACCTACTATACTGGAGTGTGAGCCTACTCCTAAGAAATAAGTCTCAGGTTGGGACACACAGAGCTAATTAAAGCAGTGTCATTAATGGAAACACATCTATCAGGTCTGTGAATGTGGAGTAGAAGAAGAAACAGTTGAACATATTATCCGTCACACAGGAGGATGAAACGCATACAGAAAAGCTAAACAATGAATTAAAGAATTGTTTCGTTTGTTTTCTCCTTCCATGATTGTATCCTGATTCAACTGCTTCTTGTATCTTGAATCATCGTTAAATACATTTTTTTTTCTCCAAAATGATTATTTGCTTCGTAAATTAACACCAATGTATAATATTGCCTCCAGTCAATCAATAAAAAGGAGTGGGCGGATCAATCCCCAAAGTGTCGATACTACCGATATGAATTCTTGTTTTGATGACCTCTAGTTCAGAGAAATCCCATAATGACTATTTGTTACTTACATTACAATCCGTCTTGTGTTAAAACATGCATAATGTGATTTAATAATTAACAGAGAATTCAAATTATTTGTTGTCCGCATGTCAAAAATGAATCTTTGGCTGTTTGCGTCATTAAGTGCAGTGAGCTTTAGTTGTAACCACCAGAGGGCAGCATGGTGACTTTTCTGGTAGAAGGATCCAATCACAACGCTCACCCAAAGACTACATGTGATAAAATGTGTGGACTAGAGCCCAAGGCTGCATGAGACTCAATCAAAAAAAGTCTTGTAATCCAACTTTAACACCAGTGACTCGTGACTTTATGAGGGCTTTTGATATGAAAGACTTAACCACAGCACAAAGCAGAGGAAACCTTGGTGGGTTACAGCTCTATATTCAGTAGAAAATAGAAAGCCAATTTTCAATTTGTAGGCCTATTTGAAGGACATCAATGCTTGTTTTGAGCCTTCTTATAAATAACTGTAAAATGAAGGCAGGATTTCATTAAAGTGCCAGAGATGTATAAAGGAAAAAAAAGGGATTATAGAATGAGATTGATTTTGTTGAAAACATCTCTCTTTTTTGTCTCTGGTTGAGCACAATGTTGTCACATAACAGAGTACAGTATTCCGCCTCACGTTTTCACAACCTGATGGTTTTATTTATGAGGTCAGTGGCACATAGTTGTGTGTAATTTTAAATACAGTCTAAATTTAATTCCACGTTTTGACCCCAAATCAAAGCATCTCAACAAGTATGAATGAAATAAATAGATAAATAAATAATAATAATCAACTCAAATTTGAAAAAAAGACAAAAAAAAAAACAGATTTCAAATGATGGCATGTGTCTGATCCGTTGCTATCTCAAAACTAAAATTAGGTCAAGAGGGCAAGCACTTATGACTCAAAATCCTTCGGCCTATGACTTGCTTTTGACTTGTGAAACAATGTCACTACTGCCCTTTCTGTGACAGTAATGACAGCATTACACTTCCTCTAAAGAGGGACATACCCTTGCCAACAGTCCTATGTTTGGGCTTGTAGTTAAATGAATCAGAGGTGTGGAAAGTTGAGGTGTCGTCATTAAAAAAACAGTATTAGAGTAATAGAGTATTTTAAAAGCTTAATGCACTTTTAATTTGTACAATGTCCACTAATGCCACTATCCAGGTAAAAGTGATATATTAGATCTACACTGATTAAAAAGACAGAGGTGGAGATAAAGGGAAGTAGATGATTTAGAGATTTCAAAGTTTTCTGGGAATGACAATGCCAGTCAGCTGGTCGGTTACTCCATCGCTTTGGTCCGGACTGAAATATCTCAAAAACTATGAGACTGCCATTTGATACGATTGCCATTGAATTTGGTACAGCTATTCACGTTCTCCTCTGGATGAATGTAATAACTTATGATAACCTTAATAAAACCAGATCAAAATAAAAAATGTGTACAGAAACCTACTATGTTTTATGACTTCAAACATTGCCTGTACTTTTGGGTTTAGTAGGAACTTACCAATGTCAGCATGCTAACATCATAAACTTAGATGGTGAACCCAGTAACCGTTGTTATACCTGCTTAGCATTCAACCATCACGTTAGCATTGTCATTCTGCGCGTGTTAGCATACTGACGTTAGCATTTAGCTTAAAGGCAACGCATGGGCCAAAATGCAGAGCTGCTAACGAGGCTGTCGACTCTTAGTATTGTTCGACAGTTGAAGTGAGGATTGCTTAACTGTAGCTCTGACTCAATATTAGTAAGAAAGTCATGAGGGTTCGCACATACAATGTAAATGGAGAGAACAAAAGGCTTGTGGGATTAGAAAAACTATGGAAAGCGATCATAAATGATTAAATTTTGGTCTGCTTTTTGTAAATTATTCAACACTTTTCATAAAGGGACACATTTCCTGTCTGTAATTTGAACTGAAACCCCCCTAGCTTTGCCTTTAATAGGCTACACAAAGGAGAAAGTGAACATTGCATGCTCTGGATTTTTTTTGTATTGGCGAGAGCAGCGCGCCTTAGAGCAGAGAAGCAACAGCAACAGATAAATCATTTGTTCAACAGCGGAGCTCCTGTCGGCTTTGTCTGTTTGTGTTCATCTCCGGAGCAACTGCAGCGCGTGAATCAGCTCCTGCACAGCAAACTGTGAATGGACACAGCAATTAATTAAGAGTCACATGGACACATTTAATCACACAGTTGTAATCACAGCAATGAGAGCAACAGCAACAACTTGTAATGGAAAATACTTCACTCATGCTTAGGAGTGAACAATTCTTTAGACATCATAATAGGTTGGTATAAGTGTTTCAGCGCACATTGTCTTCTCTCTTTATCGGTCTCTGGTTTGGCGGCATGATATCATCAGGGTGAGAGGTTACATTAGTCATAACCGAAATGGAAACAATGTTGCAGATGCTTTGCCTTCTGTTATTTCAATAGTTAGAATTGGGAACCATATTTGTTGTTGTTTTGTTTTTTGTCTTTTGCTGAAAGAGTTGATCTTCTCATCATAATCTTGTCAAGAAGGCATTTGCATTCAGCAAAATGTCAAACTATTCCATATTAAACACCATATGGAAATTCAATTTGCGTTGTCTTCATCCACCGTGTTCTTTTTTCATCTGGCTATTTTCTTATGTTTGGCAGCGTTTCATTGAGTGTGTGCTTTGATTCTGTGAGCCTTTTTGATCCTCATGAGTTCAGAAAAGGTCAGAGGAACTTGGTTATTATTTAACAGAGACGTGTCAATACAGCGCATACCAAAAATATTCTCACTGACGCTCCTTGACACAGGGGCAATCTTGTATGTTTGCAGAACAGTGGCCCTCATACGTTGTCCATACAATGAACAAAAGCAATTGATTTTCAGTAAAAATGTATATAACATAAAAAACACATTTCTCCACAATCCTAATATGTATTTCTCCCACAAGTTTCCTCTGGTCCGCTGCTTTCCCATGTACAGTGTGAGAGCCAGGACCCAATCCCATCTGTTATGCTCAGATACTCAGCGAACCCAGGTCACCTTTATGTTTCCTCTCACGCCCACTGCTCTGCAGATCCCACCGATGTTGTCCGTGTCATTTATCACACCGCTGTCAGGCCAACAAGATGAACAATAAGACTGGTAAATGGTCTGCATCTTTCAAAATACAAAATAGTCATGACAAAATGTAATGTATTCTCTACACTACAATTCATTTTATTCTTTTACAAATAATACTGGAGCAAATGTATTAATACATTCCTCAATGTTATCTTATTACTTTGTTTTCCCTCTGAAAGGTTTTGTTCAAAGTTTGATTGCAGACACAGCAGGAAAAGCTCAGGTGTGACTAATAACATTAATGATGAGACACACCACCCAAAGCCTGGAAGTGGCACACCTGAAAGGTATTTGGCCATCATTAATGTGATTAATCACACCTGTGCTTTTCTTGTTATAATGTGTAAAAAGAGCCATTGTGAAAAAAAAGCCAATTACAATATAATTTCAAACCTGACAACTACTCGTAGGCAATGACTGATTACATCAATATCAAATGGATAGACTATTAGAAAACATAAATCTGTGTCTGACGAAATTTTTAACTTTTATGTAGTCTAAAAATCCTTGCATATATTGGCTATTCACTACAAGTACACCTGGGCCATGCCACACAAATTATTTTAAGCGGTGTCCTTGTCAGTGCTTTAATATTTACAATGTGTTTTCTGCTGCATTTTGTTTTATGCCGCCCTACTTATCCTGCCTAAAGGATTCTCCCCCAACCCTGACCCTGGCCAGATTGTTTGACCCCCCCCCCCCCCCCCCACACACACACACACACACACCCACAACCCCTGCTGTGTAGCAGGAGGCAATGTAATATTTAATCCAACACCACAACAGTTTCCTCGTTCGTGTTGACAGACTGCTGAATAAACCGCCATCCAGCACTCAAAGCCATTTAGCACTCCCCGGAAAAATACAGTCCTCGCCAATCATTGTATCACTATTTTGTACATTGTATGATATATATATAATACAGGGTTTTGAGTTATAGTAGTGGTGTGGCTCCAAAGGTAGCAGTGTCAGTTTGTCCACCACTTTGGTCCTGGCTGAAATGTCTCAAAAACTATTAGATTGCCATGATATTTCGTACAGACAATCATGGTCCCCAGAGGATGAAGCCTAGTGACTTGGGTGATCCCCTGACTTTTTTAGCACCACCATGTTGTCAAGTTTTGACTTCTCTTAGTAAGTTCTCTTAGAGTTTTTAACCCTCTTGACAACTACTGGATGGATTGTAATGATATTTGGTGATGATCATGGTCCCCACATGATGTATCCTTTGTGATCCCCTGACTTTTCCTCTTGAGCCACTGAGCCCCCATGAGGTTAACAGTTAGGATTTTAAGGGAAATAATCTTGAGAACTATTGAATGGATTGCTGTGAAATGTTTTATTCAAAGTCCCTTGAGGTTACATTCTCCCTTCTTTGGTGATCATCCAGCACCCCCGTCACAACATTTCCGTTTTTTCAATACTTGTATTTACTTGTGTTCAGAGTAGAGAAAAATACTGCAATCTTCAGTTTTCACTGGTAATCATCACCACTTACTGTATGACTTCATTGAAGTCTTCTGCCAAACCACAAAGGTCTGCCGTCATTGGTTGCTGGCACTAGAATAGACAACATTTCATCACATTGTGCTTTTGCTAAGATGCTTTGGACAGAATTAAACAATATGCATTCCCGAATACATGCCCTGGCCATCTTCTTAGCATTTGATTCTTTTCCTATGCTCTTAAATTTGCCTTTTTTTAACTTGTGATCAGATGGTTAAAAATTAGGATGGGGTGTGTCTCTGTAAACAGAGCGACAAAGGAGAACAGAAAGTGTGCAGGAGAAGTTGAATGTCCTGTAATATTTTTGTGACCCTGACAACATTGACACATGGGGATTTCCTAAAGAGGAGGTTCAACCTTGCCTATCATTGAAACTGTGGTTTTGGTTTATTTTGGTGGTTACAGCTGTGCTTTGTGTGTGTAGCATAGATATACAACATTTGTGGTAATGATAGTATAATTTGCCCATCTTCATGGGCTGAAATTTACAGATGTGCTGCTGTATTATCTAATTTCCCCATTTTTTTTTGTCCTTATTGTGCGAAGCATACCAAATTAGGCCTACTGTATAAATGTTTGGAGTAACTGGATGTGTATGGTGTTGAGTCACCCAATAGAAATACTTATCTTCCTGCACTCCTCCGACTGTCTGCTTCCACTCCCTGTATGTGTCAAATTAACGCTTATTGTGGCGTAATAAAAGTCTCCCCTTCCCTCGTGTGGGTGTGTGTGACGTGTGCACCACTCACCATGTAGCCTAAAACACTGCGTGTGCTCTTTTCCGTAGCGCGCGCTCAACTCAGCGGGGACCTCCTGTGTGTGGGAAACTTCAGTCCACGCAGGGTGGGGCTGGGTTTGCTGAGTTGCGAGGAAGAGGGGCGTGTGTGTGTGTGTCTGTGTGTGTCAACTTAAAAAGTACCGTGCGGTACATTTCGGGCATTAAGGATTCTGATTCAAGAACGGAGCGAATGAAGTAAAATAAACTTTCCCAAAAGTTCGACGCTGAGAGATAATACGCCTCCTCGGGACGAAGTGGAGGATTCATCGCGGATCCACAGCAGAATACACAGAGATAAAGTAAGATTTTCTCCAAGTGTTTGTTTCTTATAAGAGAGATGTTAAGTAAAGTGCAGACCTGAAGCGGGTACGCGCATGACCTAACGGGTACTTCTTAGACCAGATCTGTCTTACAATTGAGGCTTTGAGGATGATCCTCCACAGAGAGGGAAGCGCACATCCCATAAAGACAGACTGAGACATTTAAGCACGTTTACAAAAAGGACAGACCATATCAAAAAAAAATAAATAAAAAATCTAAATCTGGTCTTACTCCGTTTATAAGGCCTGTTTTTGTGCCTTTGTTGAACTTCAACATACTTGATATTTCTCATGGTCTTGCAGCTCTAAATGTGAAGTTCAGCCATCAACTTGCAACAAAACTCCGACCATCAGCTCCCCTGAATGGTTTCCAGCAGTTGATATGAAGAACCCTTTCCATTATTCCAATCTCCAAGAAGTTTGCTGTCATACTCACTTAAAAAAAAAAGAATTTAAGTTTTCCATATTCAGTAAAGAGCAGTCAATTAGTTAAGGTATTTTAATGCCCTCCGCCTTGTTGGTTGGTGGCCAACCAACTGCAGCTCTGCCTTTTCTTCTCTCAGAGACCTTGACAGATGTGCAGTGCATGGGATTTAAACCATTTCTTGTTGTTGTTTTTTTTCTGCATGTCATGGCTTTTACTATGCTGTAACATTTGTTTTATCAATTCATTAATTTTATACATCACCAGACAAGGCTGGCCATTTAAAGCCACAGGGTTGTTGTTTGGAAACAGTGACTTGAATTCGAAAGCGCTTATCTCGGGGGGCCAGGGGACATACCAGAGGGGCCGGCATGCCAACACAAACCGACTGAGGAGAAGTGCAGAGCCGCAGAGGGAGAGGGCACAGCATAATGGAGGAAGCAGTGATACATGATAGGGAGGGGACAAAAGATAAAGAAGAAACACTTGTTTTCAAGCTTGGCTGGCGGCTGTATTATAAATCCATTTAAATTTGTGCATTAAAGTGTGAGGGAAGAGCAGCCAAAAATTAGGCTTGTGGAATGGCTTTTCATGGTTTTATGGGGGGTTGAGTGGATGACTCTAATTGGGCAATTTTAAACCACCTAAGGTGCAGTGGTGAGATAACTTGGCTTTATTAAAGCCTGTGAAGACAGAAATTACGAACAAAACAGCTTGAAGAAGCTTTTGTTCAGTTGTTACATTTGAAAATAACCCATATTTGCAGTACTATTTGGCCAATTACAGTTGTCGCTTGCCTTTTAACAACCCAAATATTTGGTCAAGTGTCTGAGTGGGTAGAAAAAAGCATTGCTATCCTAAATGTTTTGAATCCTGTCATGCATTTCACTTTATTTCAATGCACGTGAGGGTTTCTTTTCACTAAAGTTAGAGATGCAGCGATGGCAGCCTAGAATGGTTCAGTGAGCGTGACTTCAGTTTTGGGTGGGGGGGGTCATGTCTCAATACACACAGCTGACCTGACCCATTGTGTCTGGCACAATGATTATGAATGTTTTTTGCCAAATATTTAGAGCATCTGGAAACAGCTTAAGGGAGGGGAATGTAATCTGACCGGCAGATGAACTCAGGAAGTAAAAGAGTTGAAAAATCAGAAGTGGCCCCAATATCACGCACAGATTGTGTGTGCGCGCGCACACTCACACATTCACATGGATTTGAGGGTGTGGTACTGTGAGGCGCCCCTCCCTACCACCAGTTTCTCAGCTGTTTACCCTTTGAACTGTCACATAACATACCAGCATTGCCTCTTTTTTTCCCTAAAACCAGTGTGCTCAGCCCGTTTGATACGCCTGTCCCATGCAAATATTTAACCATGAAATCAATAGAAAACAGAGCTTCATCAGAGACCCTCTCTCTGCTGCTTATCTTTATAAAATAGCTGTAACTTTGTCACCTATCCGGTCTTAACTTTTCACTTTAATTTGCAAGCAGAATGATAAAGTTTAGCAGAAACAAAATAATGAGACACGTGGAGTACACATAGAGCTAAATAGATGTGCAATTGACCATTTAGTAAACCTCCTTGCCAACAGTTATTATCCAGTCGTATCTGCCTGGACACTGCCAACGAGGAATAACTGTTTCTCTGCAGCAGACGTTCACTTACTACATACAAAAGTAGCCTAGCCTTACCTCCAAAGCCAAGTGGCATACCACTACTCCTACTATTTAGGGTTAGTTGCTTTAAGAATCATTGTACAGGACTGTAAGTGAACAGAACGTCCCGTGTGGGAGCCAAGGTGCTCCTAATTCACGGGTAAAGCTAACGATAGCGGCTCTGTCCCGCATTGTAGCCTACTGATTTTGGAGAAGTTTACGCTCCAGTAAACCCCGGGGAAAACACATTAGCTTTAGCCTCAGTCTTTTAGCGTAATGTAATGAAAGTAGCCATCAAGCACATATTCAAGACCCTTTGACAAGTCTTGTTTTGAAATTAGCTGCAAAAATGTAAAAAGTCAGCCGGAGTGTGGTGAAGCTTGACCAGAGTGGCTTGGAAAGTGGTAGGAGGAAGACATGAGATACTTTGTCCAGATAACAAAAGGCATTTCATTTGCAAAAGTAGCCCTGCTACACATGTTAACAAAACAAACAGTTAGCTTAGCTTAGCTTAACAGACTGAACCTCAACTCATCATACAGTAACTGCGACTAACCTATCACATGTGCACACAACTACACACTTCCTTCCTCTCCCCCTAACCATCAAAGTCATCTGCTTATATAGAGCCTTCCATCAGCAGGATCTAGCTCATACCATGATTGCAGGTGACACCAATTACTTCCGCAAATAATTAAGGGACACAAGCTATAGTTTACTGCTCACCTTTAGGTAGCAAACACTTTTAAATAGTTCACAATTTGCTATACACTCTCAACAATGCATAACAGATCACAACTAACCTACATACATACCTATACATAATCTACTCCCCCCCTATACCTAGTCTGACCCCATGACATCACTGCTGACATCATCCAGCATATAAATACAGGAAATGGTTGAGTGTCTCCTCCTTTAGACTCTGGAACACATGGTGGGTATGGTAAGTCACAAATAAAGTCAATGCTAATATGTGGACAAATGGTGTCTTCTCAACCACTTTGTCACACGGAGACACCGTTTTTAACTAACTCAAAGAGTTAGTAGTCATTAGCTAGCTAGCTACAGGTGATGAAGTCTGTCTTTTCAGTTGAAAAAATGGACAGTGCATGGTTAAAGAAAAGAATCCTGTTTCTGTGTGCCTCTGTGTGACATTGCACACCCTTTCTCTCCGTCTGCCTAACCAACCCATGCCAACGAAGGTAACGAGTACTAGCTAATCAGAGGCAGAGTAGGGTGGGTCATGACTTTGCCATCCTAGGAGAAAAAATGGCTCGGGGAAGGGGGCTATAAACCCAACATCATCTATACATGTTTACATAAAAACAAGCATTTTTCCTGAATATGTGCATTACTGCATCTCATTACAGTTTATGGGTCTTTTACAAGAGCTAACAAAACGCATATGGTGCTTTAATGTTATTACAGCGACTCAGCCTTGTGTGGCTTTTATGTTAAGATGGAGAAGTTACAGATGATGAGAAAAAGCAAGGAAATTAGGCTATGAGAGGGAAAGTCCCCTGTCCCATCCTCCTTTCGTTCTAGTAAACATTTTTTGTTTTCACTTTCCTAATGTTGACATTTGATTTCAAAGTCTGAGGATGGGCAGGGAGGGCCGGCTTATCTTCAATGTGACAAACGATCTAATTCCGTTGTGATTATTGGCGCGCCGTATGAGGGTGGGGATGTGACAGTGTGATAAATGTTCATATAATCTACAGTGCTGGACAGCCGCAGTGTATCCGCGCACACAGATATACACACAAACTACATTATTTCGTAACAGCTGGGGTGAGGCAGATGGAATCCAGATGCTTATAGGAGGTATTTAGATTGCTCAGAGTGTAGCCGACTGAACAGCCCCAAGATGCTTTGAGAAAGCGTGACGGCCGAGGAGAGTGCAAGTCCAGAATGTGGTAATTGTGGGGAAAAAGTGAAGAGTGCATTTGCTGTTTGTATGATGGGGAGATAGAAGAAAAACAAAATGTACTGCAGCACACTGCCAATGACCTCTGGTGTGGATTGCATCTCTCAGTCTAACGGAAAATGTTGTTGGGCTTCTCACTTTATCTAGTCGTTGCAGATGTGTTTGGTTTGCTCTCACCACAATACAATCAAATGAATGGAATTTTGTTAGTGGTGCTCACATTATTATTAAAAAAAAATAACTTCAGAAATTAAAGAGCAAACAAACCACAGCACAGTCAGCAGTTCTCTCACGAGGAGTGGTTGTTTTGTAGAGAGTACTTCCAATTAAAAAAAAACAGTTCCGGGGATTTTTCAGTGGTAAACATTCCAAATCTTGGTCAAATGAAATCCAAACTATCTGCATTGATGGACACCACAAGTGCAGGGGTTCACAACCCGGGGGGTGAGACCCCCAACTGGGTCCCAAAGAAGAGCTGAGTGGTCCTGTTGGGAAAATCGAAGGACTAAAGAATTATGTTGACTTACAAAGACTTGTATCCTCATGTGAACTTTCGAGGCCTGTGCCCTTGTATGTCTGGTGTCTGAAACTTCCTCTGACACCAGCGGCTCAGATATTTTGGGGGCTAGCAGATGTTTGTCCTAAATAATAGACAAAGCTGTAGCAGATGTCAATACTTGAGCAGAGCTGATTTGCTACCAAGACTTCCTGATTTCATAGAATGACCTTTGTACTAGAACAAACTGCTAAAGTGTTGTTACAGGTTTTGTGAAGAGTACGCTGTGTGAAAAGCAATACGTGTATATGTTATCCAAGTGTGACAAGCTTATCGTAAATTACCCTGTACCACCACACTGCTTGTGTTTAGCAGTACGTATATATGACTGAGACTCAGAGACAAACCTCTGAGCAGTCTTGATCCATATATTCTGTATGCGTTTCAACACTGTTCCTCCTTGCAAGAATAAATGTCATGTGATTAATGATTTTTACATCGGCCTCGAGTGAATTTTTCTAACAGGTCCCAACGTAATTAAAATTAATACAAGGGAAAACAAATCTGATAGCTATACCCATAATTGCAGGCTTGTATTTTTTTCTTTGAAACATAATACCGTCAGATCTTTAGGCTTCTCGGGATTCTTCAGATCCGATGAACTTGGATGGACAAATTATTCTGTCCACACTAAGGCCCTTCCATGTGATAAAGGGTCCCAATTGGACATATATTCATTTTAATGGGTCACAAGCCAACATATGTTGGGAAACAGGGAATTAGGGCTCAAAGGGCACAAATATTATCACGTTTCCATTTAGACCCAATTGTTCATTTACACTATAGCTTCATTTTAGGAGGTCTTCCTATCTGTCTACCATAACAATGTGATGACTTAATATTATTATAAGTAACTGCAATTTTATTCCTGAAATACAAATAACATTTTTCTAAAATGTCACCCAGAATGCCAGGTGAGCGATTGTCTGTAAGAGGCATGTCGGAGGTGGGGCGTTTCCCCGGTGCAGCCCCACCCACCAGGGTGGAGCTGACCATTCACAAAGAGGGGGAGAAGAAACAGGAGGGAGGTTGTCGCCGCTGGTTCAGGAAGATGTGTCCGTGCTGCTGTAAGAGCCAGAACTGCACCTATGATGTCACAGATAAGGTGGAATTTGTCAAACCCCCGGCCCCAGAGCCTGCAAAGCCAAAGCCTGAGAATGGAGAAGTGAAGGAAATGGAAGGTAATGTCACAGACCTTTAGCATTAAATTAGTTAAACTTGACTATTGTTGCATGTTGCACATACTGTATGTTGACCCTTACATAGTCATAGCAGCTGCAATACAGACACATACTTAAATTTCACCTTTAACCTTCCTCTCTCAGAAATAAAGTTTTCGGTGAGTTCTGTGGACCTGCTGAGCTCCAAGACGGGCCAGAACAGGAAGGAGCACCACACCGACTTGTATCAGGGGGACGAGCTGATCATCCGCAGAGGACAGACCTTCCAGATGGAGCTGGAGCTCAACAGGCCCTTCAATGCTGACAATGACAAGCTGCATCTGGAGCTTAAAACAGGTATGGAAGGGATGGACAGTGTCTGTACGTGTAACATCACACTTTTCAACAGGATCTTTGATTCATATGATAAAGAATTATAATCAATATGACTATTAGCGGTGGCAGAAAAGTTTGAGAGTTGGGTACATTATTTAGGTCAGCAGCAGCAGCAGAGGGGCAGTGCACAGTTTAGGGGTTAAAAAGCATAGCGTGTCGGAATGGGTTGCATTAAACTGCCTATTGCAGAAAAATGCACTCAGATTGCCCAAACATGGGTTGAAGGAAAAAAGGGATTCAGAAACTGAAACAAGACGAAAAGCAAAACAATTAATTAAGCAAAAATATATAGTGAAAACTTAAACGGGCACCTCAGCAATTTAGCATTGTACTTTCATAACTTTGGGGGAATCGGAGGAAACGGATTACAAAATGAACTAAATTGAAGCATCAAGATATCATGACTTTTAGTTTCTATGGGTCAAGTTCCAAAACTGGATCCTACAATTCCCATAATGCAAGACGCAAGCATTTAGTTAGACCCACCCCGCATGGTAAATTCCCAATTCTTTTAAACTCAAACCCCAAGTTTCTGTTTGAAATTTGAAGGCCCAAACCCAATCCGAGATATTATTACTTCCTGGAATTAAGGAAGCTTCTCTTGACCAGTGATTCCCAACCAGGGCTACTTGCACCCTATGGGGTACTTCACATTGAAAAGAAATGTAATTAGTAGAACTACCCACATTGTGAGTCAGTAAGTTAGCATAAAGGTCTAAACTGAGCTAAACGTAACCGATAAACAGTTGAAATGCTCGTTATAGATACATAGTTTACATAGCTCAATTGATCAGATAAATAGTTGAAATAGGTGGTGTCGATGAAGGGGTACTTGAGTTCATCTGACCGGGTTGTGTTGGTACGTCATACCACAGAAGACGTTATACAACTGTTTTCACAGGTTGAGTAGTTTCCATGATGTGAGAATTACTATTGAGTTGAATTGGTGGGGTGCCCCTTTAACCAGTAGTTGCTACAAGCCCGTGTGAAATGCAGAGGAATGAGCAACCGGCTCAAAACAAAGCATGGGAAATGTGGTCAAAATGCCACGCATAGCAAGCACATTTAAATCGAGCAGCAGTTGAGCTGTAGCTCGGAGTGTTTACAGCTTCCAGACGGCAGGACACCGGACACCTCGCTCTGGTGTTTACAGGCCTCATACTACAACGATCCGCTACACGCTTGGGAAATAAATGGCCCTTACATCACCACAGAGCTGTGATTTGGTATCACTTGCTGCTTAGATAGTTACATGGAGGAGAAACCGAATCGGCACACATAACTGTCTGAGCCTCCACATTCGACAGGCCCCCATTACCTTTGCTTTCACTGTCGTATTTGCAGTGAAAAGATTCTAAGTGCTGCACTAAAAGCTGGTTATTTTGTTCAATTAGGAAGCTGAATAAAGATTTGTTTTTAGTCAATTTTCAAAAAAAAGGTTGGGTCGATGCGGCTGAAAAGAGTGTTTTTCATTGATTTCCTTTTCAACATGTCCTCGGAGATGAGAAAGGAAGTCCTGGCTGCGGTCGGCTGGAGAACAATGGCTTCTCGATCAACTCCGTATTTGCTTAAGCAAATGGCAGCTAAAGCTCAGCAGGGTGCTACAAAGCAAACAGTTCAGAGGAAAGCCTCCAAAAATATTTTTATAATGGGTCAATAAGTCTTAGTCATGCTAATGTCTTAAAGACGTGTAAAAGGAAACAGCCAAGCTAATAAAACACAAACAAATGTGCTTGGCTTTCTGCAGAGATGTGTGCGTATGTGCAGTTTGGGATGTCTTCCAGAGGATTTTGTTTACTCAAACTGTGGACAGCCAAGTGCAAGCCTGGGACACATCGTGGTTTACAGTTTTCTAAGGTTGCGTCATACATGGGGACCAGAATTACTTTGACATCAGTGAAGTCCTTTGCACTGCCATCTAACTTAATTTAATCCAAATTTTCAAGGATTGCAGAAAATCAAAAGAATTGAAAAGCACTTTGTCGAGCTGCACAACTTGAATTTTCACTCGCACATATAAAGCAACATCTCGTTCAAAGATAATTTTGACTGCAAAAACACAAAATGATGTGTTCGTTGTAGCAGACATCCGGTTCACATTTGCAGCATCAGTTGTTGTTCTGCCCTGAAAGGCCAGTTATTTCAAATTTAAAGGAATGTTTCTGAATTGCTGAGGTGAAATGTTAGCTATGTATCTTTTAATTGCGCTAGTGGTTCACAACAAATCAGTTGCATGCAGTTAACTTTAATCTCGACATTTTGGGAAATACGCTTATTCAGGTTCTTGCCAAGGGTTAGATGAGAAGATTGATCGCCACTTGCACATTTGTCTGTTACACATGAACCTCCAGCAAGACTGTTAGCTTAGCTTAGCATAAAAACTAGAAGCAGCAGGAACCAGCTAGCCTGGCCTTTCCCAGATAAGTCATTCTTACACTTCCATTTGTATACTGCCTAAAGAAGCGAGATATAACTTATTAATTAGAGTGTTCTAGATGTGCTGGAAAGCTAACCGTTAACTTTTTACCGTCTTCATGCTAAGCTAAGCAACAGTCTTAAGGCTGTGATTTTATATTTAACAGACGGATGTGAATGTGGTATCAAGCATCAACATCCAGCAACCCTATTGAACAGCACCACAGGTGTTTGTTCTTGGAAGTTCTATTAGTGTTTCCTTTTTACTCAAACATAACCTGTATGCTGCAGGTCCCCTGCCCTTGGTGTCCAAAGGCACCCATATCATCATCCCACTGGTGGATCACCTGGAGGACGAACGCTGGGAGGCCACGATTGTAGAGCAGAACGGCAACCAGATCAAGCTGTCCGTCAACTCGCCAGCCAGTGCTGTGATTGGCCTGTATGGGCTCACGGTGACAACCAGCTCGTCGAAGGGCGAGGCGGCAACTACTCACGACTCCACCAAGAACATCGTCATGCTCTTCAACCCTTGGTGTGAGGGTAAGATTGGCAGCGGGGCGTGAGCGCGGGGGGGGCAGAGTGTTTGCACGGATCAAGAGCAGGAATGTGGCAGAGGGGAAGGAAAGAAGAGGAGTCAGAGTTGATAGGAGAAAAATGCAGGAGAAAAACAGACGGTGTTGCATAACAAAATGTCAGGAATGAATTATTATCCAGCTTACCATTAGGTTTGAGGCGGAGTTGCTTCAAAAAAATCTATGTTTTACCTGCAGGAGAAGTGTCTGATACAGCGCAATTACTAGGGAAAGTGCTCCCAGAACACAGCTGCTATATTACGAATAGCCTTAGCATTCTGATGGCAGGTACTGGCACAAAGTCTGTCTGTTTTAATCTGTGAGAAGGGTCCTGAGATAATGTAACACATGGGTGAGGAGGGCCAACTCAATCCGTGAGTGTGTTGCTGTCCATCAAAAAGATACAGTGTGACCTTGTGTGAGAGTTGCATAACTCCACTGGCTATGATTCAAGACTGCTGGCTCACTTGGATCTGCCACTTAAGCACCACGTTGAGTTTGTGTGTAAGTTGAAACAGGCCTTTCAATGGCCTCATTGATGAAACGTTTGCACAAAACATAATTTTTAACCTTTGCTTCTGACTAAATCAAACACTTTTGTTTGAATTAGTGTTCTCTTAATTTATTCATAAATGTACATGGATAAAATATGTACATTTAGTTTTTTCTATTATTTAGTTAAGCCTGCATTAACAAGATTTTTTTTGGCCACTTGGGGGCAGACGAAACAAGCTGTAAACACAGCTGACATACTATTACCTTTCAATGCTGTGCCCATTCGAAATGATAGTCAGGCAAATATGTCTCTATTCATCTGTTGGAGAAACTGTCTAGTTCTACTATATACTATAGTAGGTCTCATTTACCTTGTGGCTTTTGCCATAATGTCAGAGGTCAGTCTCATTGTTTTGAATTACGCATATTTATTATCCTCTGATTCAGTTAATAAAGCCTTAGGACATGAGGTCCACTGTTTATTCTGCTGACCTCAGCTTGCTGTGTACTGTAAATTCCCTGCACAGGATATTTGACAAAAAAATAAATATATTTGCAACACAGCTAAATAAAAATATAAACGGTGGACCTGGATTTGATTAAAAAAAATGACGCTCTGTCTTTCATTATGGCATGGCTGTTTTTGGCAGTGAGCCCAATCTTCTCTTCCCTCTTTCAATCTCTTCTTCCCGAGACCAATCTCTCCCTCGCGCTCATAAAATTCAAAATCTTACAATTGCTGTAAAAAACTCCATGGTGCGAGCTCACAGTAATCCTGCAGCTGGTGACGACCTGTCCTCTCCCTCGCTTCAACTGCCTCCATGTGTAGTTCCTGCCTTTATGTGCTTCTCCCACCCAGTCCCACACACTGTATGCCCACCAAATCCTCACTCCATTGCATCATTGCTCTGTTTTCTGGTCTGCTCCTCCTTCGTTCGTGCGTGCGTGCGTGCGTGCGCGTGTCTCTCCCTATATTGCAGAAATAATCAGTAAGAAGAAATGAAAAGCAAAATGATCACAGCTGCCAGATGCTGCCAGTCTCCACCTCTCCTTTCTCCTGTAAACTCAAGTCTGTTACGCTCAACTCCCCCTCACCCCTCTCCCTCCCAAGCATAACTCCCCCCCCATCATTCGTCCCTCATGACTTTGTTAAACCTCTTCCTTCCACTTCATTTTTCTCATGTCCATCTTGAATACTCTTATACTTGTACTATGCTTTCCCTTTCTGTCTTCTCGTCACGTACCTTTCCCCCACCTACTGTTTATCACTGTGGCAACAGCACAAGATAAAGGCTGTGGAAAAACAAAGGCACCGTTTTGTGAAGCTCATGTCGGGGGTGCACGCCCAAGTCTGTAGAGCTGATGTCACTCAAAACAGACCGTTTCCCATAAATGAACATGGGCCCCACTGCAAGGTCCATGGAGTCATTGTGTTTCCTAACCGTTTCCTGGCCTAGGGGATTCTCTCACAGAATTTGTAAAAAATAAATCACATTCTTATGTAGTTTGATCACTGAAGAGGTGATAAAAGCTTACATTCTGGGTAACTTTCACACAGGGAGGAAGCCAACCTCTTGACTAGAGCATATCCTTAAGAATCCAACAGTTCAAGTGTTTCCATGTATTTCCTGTTAAGGATCAACCTCAGTTATGCAACTAAGAATACACAAGTATATACAGGATGAAAAACTCTATTATAATTACCAGATTATCATGTCTTTCCAGAGGACGCAGTGTTCTTGGATAATGAGGAGGAGACAAAGGAGTATGTGCTGAATGACACCGGGAGGATTTACTATGGCACAGAGAAACAAATAGGCGCCCGCACGTGGAACTTTGGCCAGGTACGTGCTACAAGTTGTGACTCGAAAGTGCTGAATTAATGGATTTGAATGAACATGACATCATTGTCTGTGGCACTCAGCCCATTTGTCCCTGACTGAAGATGTAAATCTTTAAAAGAGGGTCAGAAATGTATTGTTTTATTATTGAAAAATGCTAAGTAATTTTGTATAACAACTGGGCACAATAGTTTTTGTTAAAGGGTACTTAAACAAGAGTAAACTGTATTTGTTGGGGACTATTTTCAACTGTGGATTAATACGCATGGTGCACGAGTGAGCGTCTCAATGGGATTATCCTGGCTCAATAAAGGTTAAATCAGAGAAATAATAATTTCCACCAGCAGCTTTTCTTTATTAATTTATCAGTTTTACATGCTTTTAGTTATGTTTTGTAGCCTTATCAGTCTTCCACCCTCTGTCGTTGTCAACTTTACCTCCATTTGTGCTGAAAGAACAGCACCATCTTCCTGTTTTGTGCCATAAATCATTCCATAGTTGTGAAGCATGGAGGCTGGTAGAAAATTCAAATCTCATCTGTAATTTGAACAATTTCTCAATTATTGTAGTTATTTTTAATGAATGTTTTGATGAGACGTGTATGTAAATTGTTCTGAATACTATGATCAAAATCCCCATTTGAATGAACTCATTTCCTTTGAGTATTTATGGGTCTTTTTTTTTTTTTTTTTTTTTTGGTTTTAGTTTCACGAGGGAATCCTGGAAGCATGTCTGTTTATCCTGGAGAAGAGTGACATGCCACCATCTGGCCGAGGGGATCCTGTCAATGTGGTTAGAGTCATATCTGCCATGGTGAGTTTAGATTTATATTGACATCACACCATCTCATGATATTAGAAATACTGAAGTCATGAGTCCACGTCCCTCAAGGCTCACATTTCACATATTCAGTTAACTTGTCAATTGTATTTCTGTGAATTTTGTTTCCCACCATGAAATGCTGTTTCAAAGCAGTCTCCACACTGCCAGGAATAAACTCATGGTGGGGGAAGAAACAGAATACTTGGCCTAAAAGTAGTCAAATTTAGATATATTGATATCTGCCAAAAACATTTGAAATACCCTTCATTTGTTTTAATCTTAATTTGCAGCTAGCCTCAGCTAACAAATATTCCAGGAACATTGGAGAGAACATGACCTCAGTGTCTTCATTAGTAGCTATGATCCTAATCATGTTCTGCTTGGGAAATTAATATTTGGCAATGACTTGTAAATGGTTGTAAATGACTGTGTAACCATCATCTTTTCAGATAAATGCTCAGGACGACTCTGGGGTTCTGGTGGGGAACTGGTCTGGGAATTACTCTGATGGAGTCCCTCCTTCGGCGTGGAGCAGCAGCGTGGAGATCCTGAGGAAGTACCACTCCTCCAATGGAACGCCTGTGTCATATGGACAGTGCTGGGTCTTCTCTGGGATCACTACAACGGGTGAGTGTGAGAAAATAAAACTGTGCGCCGCAAAGTTTCCCAGTGGACATGTGAATTTCAAGAAAGGTCAAAAGACTGATCAGGCCCTTTTCATTAGCTCTCACTACTCTTTAACAGAATACTTCATTCATTGTGCATGCACGCAGGGCCCCTCACATGGTAGTTATAGCTGACCTCAGCACCTGATAGCAAGCCGTAGCTCATACACACCCTAAATACCTCGCATTGGCATTCCTGTCATACCTCCTACTTTTGTCAAAGATGGAGCCACATGTGTTGCTTTCAGTCAGCCAGGATAATAAAGTTCCTTGCAATCACGCAAAGGCCATCACAGTGGAAATCTCCGAAGTCATTATGTTCAAGCTTTAGCATCTGCGAACATAATTCAATTGTCAAATGACCTCGTAAATTGAGTTTTAATGACTTTCTTTCTGTCTTTGTTACCAGTGCTGCGGTGTCTGGGCATACCCGCCCGCAGTGTGACCAACTTCCAGTCTGCTCATGATACTGACGTATCCCTCACCACAGATGTGTATTTGGATGAGGAAATGGAGCCGATCGACTACCTTAACAGTGATTCTGTGTGGTAAGATGTGTAGCTTTACATGAGGACACCATGGCATTGGAAAAATGGCCTGCTGCTAAATCCATACCGTAGGAATGCGCCATATATTTAGATCTGCTCCGAAAGCAGTCCTCTTTAACTTGAAACCTCAGAGTCATCCTCGTCCAATTAATTGCAACTACTACAGTGTCCTTAGCGGTGCAATATACGGGATTCAGAGAATTAAAATAGCAGCAAAAAACGACTTGCTATGTAAAGATATAGTAGAGTAATGTCTTCCTGAGAAGAGAATGAAATCGCTCTCTCTGTCTGTGTTGTAATCCGAGTCTCTCCTTACATTGTTGACATAGCCACATGCTTTTAGCGCATGTTAGTGAATGTGAGGCTTCCCCTCTGGTCAGCTCACGGCCACATTCCTAGACTCGTATGGCAGTTATAGCTGATAACGCCATCCCGACCGACGGCGTTGTCACAGAAGCGTAGCACTCACCCTCTGATTGATCCTCAACGAAAGACTCTATCTCTGTCAGCAGTTTTGCAATAGTTTGCCTCTAGCGCAGCAATCGCCATGTTGAGAGCTGCTTAGAGGCAGTCGAAAAGCTCACAATCGTGTATATAGAACCTTTGAAATACCCCAAGAATTTGGGTTTCCTGTTCCTGCCCAGCCAAGTACACCAGGCACTTGTTGCAATGTAGCTAAATGTAGCAATGCCAGCTTCATTTGTATCAATAATTCCTATTACATTAAGGATCCATACTTCGTCATTCCTGATTATTGTTTTTACAACGTTGTAGCCAAACCTGATCCACAAACATTTGATGCCATTTCTACCTAACCACGTTCATGTTCATAAAACCATGGTAACACAAATCGAAAAAAATTAAGATGAGACCTCAAACAAACATAATTTAATCCCATCTAGGAATTTCCACGTGTGGAATGACTGCTGGATGGCGAGAGCAGACCTGCCCCCTGGGTATGGAGGATGGCAGGCTGTTGATTCTACTCCCCAGGAAACCAGCCAGGGCACCTTCTGCTGCGGCCCCGCCTCTGTCAACGGCATCCGCTCTGGCCAGGTCTACCTCAAACACGACACGCCGTTTGTCTTTGCTGAGGTGAGTGCTTGAAATTGGCAAGTGGGCGTTCTCTCTAGGTTAATGATGTGTACCAAAGTGAAGGGAATGTGGTCGAACTGAATTGCAGGGACAGATCGTCTAAAAAGGTGGACTTTAGAGCTGTAACAGGCATAAATTGTGAAACTTTAATAGATATAATTGAGTGCGTTAAAGCAAACACCTTCTCTAGCAGCGGGCATCCTTTTTAAATAAAAACGACTTTCTTGGGTCCCTGTCTCACCGCTATTCACAGCGGAATAACAAAGAAGAAATTTCTTCACTATCCACTTGTTCAAAGCGAAGATTAAGGATAAATAAAAGTGATGTGCACTTTGGATAAACTTCATCATGAAAGGCAAACTTCTCATGTACTTGTTGATACTTTTCTATTATATATCAGGTCAACAGTGATAAGATCTTCTGGCAGAGGAACCTGGATGCCACTTTCAGCCAGATCCACAGTGAGAAGAAAGCTGTCGGCCACTACATCAGCACTAAAGCAGTGGGCTCTGACGAGAGGGCAGACATCACGCACCTGTACAAACATCAAGAAGGTATACTGGCAAGCATATTATCCTACTTTGCTAATTGCATTTCAACCCAAGATTGATGTTCCAGAACCAGACAGAATTATTTCTACACTACCGGGAACACTCTTAAAATGTAATGATTTAATACTTTCTTGCTGCGTAGATCATTTCGCTGTACATTCCCCTCGTCCGACTCCACAGTTATTCACCTGCTCCTCACAATATTAAATTGTGTCTTTTTCTTAGTTTGAAAGACTGTGTGCCATATCTCTTGTGTCCATCCATAAATCCCAAAACATCAGACAGAATGAGGTGCACTCACATTCTCCTCCCTCTGTACCAGGTTCGGAAGAGGAACGCATCGCCGTGGAGACTGCCAGTCGCTATGGCAGCAAGCCAAATGTCTACTCCACGGCCACGGCAGAGGATGTGAGCATTGAGGTGAAGATGGAGGGCGAGGGGCCCAGGATGGGTGCTGACGCCCACCTGAGCATCCTGGTGAAGAACCTGAGCTCGCATCCTCGTCAGACCACTCTGCACAGCCGGGTGGCCGTCATGTACTACACTGGTGTGTTGAAGGGCACCATCAGGAAGGAGCAGATGCCTGTGGAGCTCTTGCCCAATGAAGGTAGGCTTTCCACGGAGCGTAAAAGCTGCTGGAATTCATTTTTTCACACCAACAATGGATCCAATGGCCACATGCATGTGAAAGAGGTCGTCCACTGTGACAAATCATCCAAGTTTCCCCTCAAGTCAAGTTCACACTGCACGACTTTCAAAGTGGTCACGCGCTACTACATCTTTCACACGGGGGATTCCCTGATGAGGGGTCCAGACTACGTTTTGTCACGAAAACACACGCAAGACTTTACACAGGCGTAGTCCTGCTATTCGTCGTCAGCACACTGTTTCCACGCTATTTTACTGTTTCCCCTATATGTAGATCGCTCATTGTTATGTTTATTCTGCAAGCAGCCAACACCTGAGACGCAACAACAACTTTGTTGCAACACGATTTACACACTTACAGGCAACCCGTCCGCAAGGTTTCCCCTCAACCCGTGTCTTTCATCTCGCGTCTTTGAACAGTTTACACATAGCGCTGGAGCACCGAGCTAACGTCATTTAGCTTCTGATCTGGGACTTTTGTCGGGGAGATCCACAAACTGTCGGCGGGTGGAAATTCAGGGCTGTAGTGTGAACTAGGCACCCGGATCTAGAGAGATTTGGTGTCTTTTAACTCATTGTTTTGGTCTGAAGGCCTACAACTCAATGATTATTCTCTCAGGAGCTGGTGGAGACCAAAACATAGCTACAAGGAGAGCAATGAATGCTGATGAGTCGCATCTATTTAAGCAGCTGTTTGCTAACTTTGCCATATGAACTTAAAAGGCGATAATAGCTGTGTGGTGTCTAGAGCTGGTTTCTGTTGCCCCAAAGTAGCTTTAAATTCAGATAATTCAGGTTTAGCTTTGCTAATAAGCGACTGTAGATTAAAAAAAATTGTTATAACATTATTAAGTAAGATTTGAAGGTGCTAGTTGGGGTGGGTTTTTTTGCGAAAAAAGTAGTGCATAGAATAAAAATCTGAATACTGAGCCCAGGCCCCTTTTTTGTTCCTCTCCACACAGAGAAGACCATTGAGTGGATGCTGCCCTACCAACAGTACCAAAACCAGCTGGTGGATCAGGCAGCTCTGATGCTGACCCTGTCTGGAAGAGTCAGTGAGACCCAGCAAGTATTAGCCAACCAGACCACCTTCAGGCTCCGTACACCTGACCTCAACGTCACGGTAGGCGTTTGTTTTGCCCTAAAACTTCAGGATTACCGCTAGAGTGAAATGACAGGAAAAGGTTTTGTTCACATCTCCTGACTCATTTTGGATTGCCCTCCGACAGCCTTTGGGAGAAGCTGTTGTTGGCAAGGAGATGGCAGCCAAGATTACCTTCACCAACCCTCTGCCACGTATGCTGAAGGAAGTGGTGTTCAGAGTGGAGGGCCTGGGTCTGCAGAAGGGCCACGAAGTGGTTGTTGGGTAAGAACATGCGACATCTCCTTTTATTTTTTTTTAATCTCATCTCTTTCACACACACACACACACACACACAACTCCCTCAGCATTTCCTTCTCCAGTCTAATATCCCCACTTCTCTTTTTTCCCTCTCAGCGATGTAAGTGGCCACTCGACAGTGACACTGACGGAGCACTTCATCCCCACCCAGCCCGGACCCAGGAAGCTGGTGGCGTCCCTTGACTGCAAACAGCTCACGCAAGTGCACGGGGTGGCTGATATTGTTGTTCTTGAGCAATGAGAAGCAACATCACTTCCTGTCATTTGTTCCTCATAAAATATGAACAGAGAGCCTCTAATTATATGAAAAGTGTGCTAAGTTTCTGTATCTTAAACAATTTTGTTGGTTTTGTACTACAGAAAAACAATGTGGCTATTTTTAAAACTATGAGTAGACAATTGACAACTGTAGCACTATCAGTATTTACTTTTTTACTTAAATATAAATCCACACTTATGCCTTACTCTGAAATGTCTAAACTGTGGTGAAGTCTGCAGCAGGGTTTAAAACCCTGCACAGCTAATTAAGTGCTTTGATTAACAAGCATTCGTATATATTGAAGTTATAAAACCTGATTACACAGAATGTCCAAAGAATGTGACTGTGCAGACAGTCAGGTCATGATCGCGTCATGATAATGTAAATACCGTATGTCATAAGGAGGAAAGTATGTGAAAAGTGTTGTCCGACTAAATGAACCTCTCGTGGCTTACATGAAGGAAGGGTCCTGGGGGTGTTCTCAAAAGGACTGGTGGTGAAATTGGCGTTGACATTCTGCAAAGGGCACATTCTTACAATTCCCCACCTTTTTCCCCCCCCCCGTCACATTTGACTGATTAACTATTTAATTATTGTTGTCATTTTGCCGTGCAAATTAACGATGCAGATTTCCCCAAAAATTGAAGCGACAAGGACAAGGACATGGCTAAAAGGTTGTTTTAATCACCAGATGAAATGCGAAATTCATAACATGTCCTTTATTTGGACAAGTTGGCAATCACAAAACTCTCCGCTTGCCGACTGCAAAAAACTAAACGTTCCCTTGGGAAGAATTCTACCAGATGTTGTTCTGTCTGTTTCTCCATAATAACACTGGAGTCAGCTTTGAAGTACATCGCAACCTCTGTGAACAATTGGACTCTGCTGTGAATTCTAGCAAACCATATCAGACCACAGTGGCCTTGATTCACCTGAGCTTTACCGGGTTTCCCGGTTATTTAATTAACTTGAGCACTAAAAGTACAATGAAGTATTTTAATAACATTACACTATTTATCTACCATATCTACCTGGAATGTTAATTTGTTGTGTGTTGTGATGGTAATAAACTTGAATAAACACTGAAATAATGGCTTGACTCATGAGTGATTTTCTACTTCCATTCATCATTGGACAAGTCTTCACTGGAAAGAAGGTAGATTATACTGTAATGTTGAGATCATATGGAGGAAGCAAGTGGCTACCTGTACTTTTCCATTCAAGCAATAAAATTGTTGCACGTGACATCATTTGCTGTCCAGTGATTCATTTCAACTTAGCTCACCTGCCTCAAGTTACACTGACGCACCTTTGCTGCCTTTCATCATTCAAGATATTGATGTCTGACGTATTCAGACGTCTGGGATTTTTATATTTCATCTTTGACCTACATGGAGATGGATGGCACGTTTAATACAGAGTTTCAGTACCAATCTCTAACTTTAGCTAATTTAAAAAAGCAACATGGCGGACTGTGTGGAAGAAGACATTTAAAACTTATTTAAATGGCGTTTTGTAAGTTAAATAAACCCTAACGATTCTTAGTTTGAGGTCATTATACACATAATGAAAACGTAGTTATGCAGATCAAATTCCATTTCTGCCAATTAGTCCCCCTAAATGTTACACGCTGTTCCTTTAGGACATGCATGGTAAGCAGGGCAGAGTGTAACGCATGCACTTAATGCTGTGAAGGAAATACTGACTTTTTACTGCACTGGATTTATTTAACAGCTCTGTTTACCTACTTTTCACATAAAAAGACATGTATAACACTGACAAGGGCCATTCTGCTGTCAAAGGAGTACTTCTACTAAAATACAAGATCTGAATATTTCGTCAACCACTGAGGGAGACAGGGTAGAGCAAAAGAAACAGGAACATATTGTGTGACATCCTGTAGTTTGAGCTCAGGCAGCAGAGGAGGAATGCAATCAAATGTGCTTCATTTGAGTATTTATGAGTCTACTTTTCAGAGGGGAATTCTGTACCTTTTACTCCATATTTTGACTCTACATTTATCTGATGGCTGTAGTTTACTAGGCATTGTGAGTCTATCATAAAATATAATTCATGATGACTTGCAGTGGGCCAGCTCCCTCCTAAAGGTCTGGGGGGAGGCCCAGGCAATGCCAGAAAGATAAGAACTAAGGAACTAAATACAAGGAGACAAAATAAAGAAAAAACTACAAGCGAGTGGACTCCATCAGCCGCCTCCTTCCCAGGCTACACCGATCACTGAATGACTTGATTCATTAACTTATTTATTTTTACTAATGTAATCATTTCTTTATTTTGTATTAATCGTTATGTTTCCTTATACCTGCACTATGGTTACAGCTATCCATATATGACACACTTTCATACGTGCACACAAACACCTACAGTCTACATATTCAAATGATAACGACTCTCTCGTTCTCTCTTTGTCGTCCAACCCTAATCCTCTTCATATCCGCATGTCAAACAAGGCTCATAAAATTAAGGCTGGGGCATAGCCTAGACCAGAGCTATGGGGTGTAACACATGCGCAGTGTAACTGGAGCTGCGATGTCAGAGGGTTACAGCAGGCGGTGCTAGAAATAAAGAACCACTGGTATCTACTGTTCTTTAGGTCAGAGGTCTTCAACAGGGGGTCCGCGGAGGTACTGCAGGGGTCCGAGAAATTTTTGGTTTAGAAATTTTTTTTTTCCAAACATGAATCTGTCCATTATTTTAGTAGTTCAGTATTGTATGCAAGATAACAGGTATGTTTATGCATGGCAGTGGCACTAATAGGCTATCACTCATTTCCACATTTACATGCATGTTTAAAATGAAAACATCAATTTGAATAGCTTGTACAGACAATGGCAGTGGCACAGCCACCCTACTCACTGTGCCTTGCACATGTTTAAAATATGAATATATGAACCTGTGTATTATTTGAATAGCTTAGTATTGAAAGCTTTAAGTTTATACATGGCACTAGGCCCAGTTTAATATAAAACAATTTTATACAATATATAGTCAGGGGTCCCTGCTGCATCTCTATCAGTTTGGGGGTCCTTGGCCTGAAAAACATTGAAGACCCCTGATTTAGGTGACAACAGTTTCAGATGGAAAGCATTTGTTTGTCTTTTATTGAAAATCAAATTGTGAACCAAAAAGAAGGCTACTATAACACCCTCCCTGCATAATCAAATTTAGGTTTACATTTCTAATTATTAAAAACAATTTTTTATTGAGTTTGTAGTATCACACTGACAAAAATACAAAATAAAATGGGATAAATTGCTTTAGATCAAACTTACATTACGTACAACAGACCTCTCCCAGCTGCAACATTAAAATGCTGGTTGAAACATTTAATTATGTTACAAATATAACAGTGATTGGGGCAATTCTGCCTTCATGACTGGCACTTTTGGTGATAATTTGTCTGCTTTTACAAACGCAACATTTTGAATGAAGGACTTCCACTAGCCATTTCCCACTGCTGACAGGCAGAAGTAAAAGCGCACCAATGGTAGGACTCGTTACTGACCTCTACTGGTTGGGCCACATTGCTTTGCGTGTGGATTTCCACAGCAGCAGTTTGTCAAATAAGCTTTTTTTGTGTTCAAGGTATAAAATACAAACAGTGGTTTGATACCATGGGGAATATATAAGAGAAAAATAGGGATTAAAGACAAAATATCTGATACAGTACTTAATGTCAGGAACATAAAAACAAGTGTGTGTCAGTAGCCATGCGGCTGCTCCGTCACACACAAACCCAGTGCATCCAGAGTAGTGCGTGTGTTAAGAATATAACAATGGGCAACATCATTTAGCTTAAGAAGTACAATTATTACTCTATATGATCACATTAACAAACCAATTCAATCATGTTATAAACCATTTCCTTACAATATATTAGCTTATAAATGACAAGATAAATTGGCAACAATAGTATTGTCAACCTGTTCGTAGGAGAACAGGTCTCTGAAACAAATAACGTTCAAACTCATGTAGAGCTACTGGATGTCTTGATATGCCCCAACGCCAAACCATCCGGCATGCTCCACATGTTGGAGTGCTAAAACCGTCATGAATTGTCTTTATACTTTCAGTCCTTTGACGCAAAAAAATGAAATTTTTTAAAAATGAAATTGCAAACACACGCATACTGGCAGTCAGTTAACAGAGTTGCATATCTTTTCCACCACTCTGTTGAACTCCTCTGGTTGATCAGCATACACGTGGTGAGAGGCGTCGTCAATCAGCTGCACAGTGGAATAGATGAGAAAATGAAAAAGACGAGTCAGCAACGATGCACTACCACGTGAAGACTAGAGTCACCGCCTCGCGGTTGTATGCCTCCGCCAACCGACGTCATGTTGAGGTTTACATCCATGACTGTGAAAAAATGTCTTCTCTTCTCAATTATGTCCTATTAGATATTTGACGTGAATTCTTGAGTTGCGTAACAAAGGCTTGTTTTGTGAGGTCACAGTGACCTTTGACCACCAAAAATTAGGTTCATCCTCGAGTCCTTGCCTCGAGGAGTTTCTGAGATATCAACCCAAAAGCAACAAACATGACTTGAATTAAAATGACGCCATTTCAATGCTGAACTGCACATTTTGGACTCCTAGCCCTCATGACTCTACTCACGATGACTCTGGTGAGGGTCTGGTTCCTAATCTGGACCACGCTGTCCCCGGACGAGCTGTCCACCCAGGATCGAGCTCCATACAGCATGGTGAGGGGCATGGAGGGGGGCAGCTGGTGAACCCGCTGCAGCATGGGCCTCTTGGCCCAGCCCAGAGACTCCGCCATGGCCCGGAAACCCACCTCGCCACTGGGGAGGAGGAGAGGAAACGGACAAGGCAGTAGGACACTGGTCAGCTTTCTGTTGGCATTATGTTCTGCCATCGGAAATGTGATGAAGCGTTGGGTGTTTTCGCTTACCTCGGGGTTTGTGCGTTACAGTGATAGATGTACTGCGTCATAGTGTCATCCTCAAACAGATCTTCGAATTTCCGTTTGAAATCCGGACGGAATCTGTTTACCAAGCCCGGACCTGAATCAATGACACGCTGTAAGATGAGTGGAAAGCGTGTCGACGTGGCACAGCGCAATAATAGATGAACAACGTCGTCTCACCCCATGGCCCCGCTGCTCTGATGACGGCCAGTGGGTTGAAGAGGGAAACCACTGCAGCGATAGCTTTCACCCAGCGTGGCAGGGGCGGCCGCTTCACCACCTCCGTCCCCTGATCTTGACCCTCCTGGGTCTGCGTCTGCGGTCGCTCAGGGAAACCCCACGGATCCACCAGGATGAGATGAGACACTCTACAAGAGGAAAGCAGGGTACATTGTAATTTCCTATCAACTGCCATTCGTTTGCCATCAGCTTATGCTCAACACACACGGTGGCGTCTTTTTGAATACCACCACTAGGAGGAGAGTCAAAGACAAGAATTTTTCTAATTCTACACAAACAACTTTTTTTTTTTCTATTTTATAAAGGGTAAACCTGAAAATACTACCAATAAATTAGCTTTCTTGCTGAGAATAAAGGCCTTTGCTCACCAAGTCCTCACGTTTACGCACCGATTCTAAAAAATGTGCCCGTCATTAGAAGTGTTAGTAAAGTTTTCGGAACAGGTTAGATTTTCTGCGTTGTATCCGCGTCAAAAGCATTAAGAGAGTTGTTTGACCACTCAGAGCCACCATACATGCAAACGTCTGACTCACTTCGTCTCCCAGCACAAAGCACTTTACGACAAATAAAGTAGAACACACAGAGCTAAGGAATCCACAGATAGAATGTGGCCGGTGATTTCAGAACAGATTGGAATCAGAGACGACGGACTAAAACTACAGTAGTGATTGTGCTCCAGGAAGCTAATCAGACTCAGTGTGCAAGGTTTCTGTGTTTAGACTTTTAAAAAAAAAAAAAAAAAAAAAAAAAAACGAACAAGGATTTGTTGTCCAGCCAGGTTATCTATCTAGTCCAAAGGTTTCATCCGTATAAAAGACAAAGTACAAAAGTTCTAAGTTGTGGTTTTATGGAGGGTTATGTTGCGAACTATTACTGGGCTACACGCAGTCACGGTTGTCACTTTCAAACTTCAAAATTCAGTTTTCTTGATTCTGGATATCAGCCAGAAATATTCAACATGACGTTTAATGTTCACTGTCGAAATACAATCTCTGGCTTCACTAATGTCTTTCCATTGAACATGATTTACTGAAGTCCTTAATTTTCAAACGACAACAAAACACCAAATCACTGCCAGCTGCTGAGTAATCCGTTCTGCAGCTGCTCCTCATTAGCTGATGTTTGAGGCGGCATCACATTAGTATTATTACCTAGAAGGGTACTGGATGGCGTAGGAGGTAGCCAGGTACCCCCCGAGACTGTGTCCCAGCAGAATCATGTTCTCCAGGCCTAAGGACTGTCTCCACTGCTCAATGGATTCGACAAACTGCTCCTCTGCCTTGGCAGCGTCTGAGGGGAAGGGAGGCCTGGAGCTCCTGCCGAAGCCCAGGAGGTCAAAGGCGTAAAGAGGGCGCGACTGACTCAGCGTGTCCATGTTCCTGATCCACAGGCCTACCCCTCCTCCAAAGCCGTGGACCATCACCAGCGGAGTTTTTGGGGCTAAGGGAAAAAGGACATAGAGGAGTTATGTCATGGGTCATATAATGCATACAGTAGCACTGTGGAAGTACAGCAGTCGCCTCCCGCTAAACAAACAGACAGACGGAGAGGAGGGTGGTACCCTGTTCTGCAGGCTTGCGCACTGCCTTCTTGCTGAGAGACAGAGTCCATATTCGATCCTGGTTTGGCAGGGTCACAAACCGAGCCCAGAGGTCATTCTGAATACCTGTTGTGACCAGACATAGAGGAGTAAAGATCAGCATACCCTCACATAGGTTCGTTGTATAGCTGGTGACATAATGGTGTCGTATTACACTTACAAAAGGTATTTTATAAAGAGTTAGCATGCTTTTAAATATCATTACAACTGATGAGTAACATTTATATTACTTCCTAGTAGTTAAATAATCTACCGGCATACGTCACAACAGTCTTACAAGCAAGAATCTTGGACTCCGTAGTCTTTAAGAGGGACATGGAGGTTGGACGCCAGGAAGGCCACCAGTTCCAGATTGAACTTGACCTAACGAGAGAGAGAGGCAAAAAACAAAGAATGAGGAGGTTGATAGTACGGAACCATTCAAAGCATGCCGAGGATACAGAACAAAGTCAGTGCTGTGGTGAATTAATCTTATTAATTTAAATAAACGTGATGAGAAAACTCTCAAACGTCTTGAAGTATATTGTTGAACGGACACTTAGAATATAATCAGCTGAATGGTCAGAGCTCTTTCTCCACGGATGATTCGGAGGTCTGACAACAAGTTTTTGCAGAGTATATATGCTTCACACACATATGCTTCTCAAAACCGATTGCTCCAGCTGCACATTAGCTCTCACAACCATGAGGTTGAGATTACAGCAAGCCAGGCAAAGGCTACCTTTGTTTGTCTGCGCACACACACACACACACACACACACACACACACACACACACACACACTGTTCTGAGTTAAAGTTACATCTGAAAAGAACACACTGATAAATTGCCAACAAGTGCCATCAATGTTTGCACGGAGCAAACCCGCCCAGGAGTGTCAGGTTACACAACCATCATGCTGGTCAGTGCCAGCATGCCATTCCTCTCTGGTTGGAGATAGAGATAGGCCAGTCTCTCATTTCTACCTCCACTACCCACAGGTACACCACAGGCCTTCTACCTGTTACGCAAAAAAGAATTGCCGAGTCATCCAACTGGCTCACCGTGTCACTCACAGCTGCGCTTCTCTCCAGTGAATATCAACACTTTAATTAAAAGACCAGTTAAACAGGAGTGGCAGAGCAAGACAATCCCATTTGATCACTGCTGTGGAGTCTCGGTTACTACTAATAACCCTTAATTGATCAAATGTTCTATGGATATGTAACACACCAAATTAGCATAAGAGCGTGTGTATTTATCACCAAATTAATTTTCTGCTAACGTTACACCGACACAGCACTCCAGTGACGTATTGTACAACACAGTCCCTTAAACAAGCGACACAATAAACACGTTCAGCTTTTTAAAGTGTAGCTAGCTTGTGACGTAATCAGACTAGCGGTGAGTTGGAGGAGGTCGTCTGTTTACCTCTCGAAGTTAAACGTGACTTACTCCGTTTCACACTCGTTCTGCATCAGATCGGTGGTTGTTGCTGCTGTAGCGGGGTCCATTGGTTGACATTATCTGGTCACTACATTCACAGAAATTAAATTAGGACGTTGACAACACGCGCACTTTTATATCTCCTTTGAAATTACACAAACTCCTTCGCTCCTGGGTCAGCTGAGCGAGCACAGGGATGGTCCGTTGCGAGGATGAGTCAATGGTGAGAAAGAGCGGTACGGAAAGTCTGACGGGGTTACAAAACGTGTATTGTTACTTACAAACAGCCAAATGGACCGCGACTGCCGGTATTATTTGTGATAAATTCATGTCGCTATAAACAACGTTTTCACGTGTGTTTGTGTGTGTTAATAATTGGTGAAATTCAAAACTGCTAAAGCTTAACCTGTAATTCACAAATTAGGCACTGGGGCCTAAAATTGGTGACAACCGAGAATGCAGTTGACACAGCCGTACCTCTAAATACTGGCAGAGTGAGACGTCTCCCTCCTTTTTAAAACTCTGTGCTCTATGGTGGGCGGCGCCAAGTCTCCGTTCTTCAGCAACCGGCCTCTGCTCTTTTCTCCGAGCGACTCGGAACCTGTGCTCGCAATCACCCTCGGAATATATTCTTTGGAACACCAAGGCCGCTTCCGGTTGACGAGGACACGTCACTTTTTCGATTGAGGAAGGGGGACCTGTGCAAAACTCGCTCATTTTAACCCATTTGTTGAAATTAGACGACAACAACTATGTCGAACTCGGTCATATCGGTGATCGCTCGGTTTCTAGAGGAGTACACCACCACGACGCCCAACAAGCTGAAAGTGGTGGACTCATATTTGTTGTACATCTTGTTGACAGGAGCGCTGCAGTTCCTCTACTGTCTGCTCGTCGGCACCTTCCCCTTCAATAGCTTTCTGTCGGGCTTCATCTCGTGTGTTGGCGCTTTCATTCTCGGAGGTAAATACTCATTCTGTTACATTTTGTTATGTGTTGCCGATGAATTGCACAATGCGTCAGTTTGGACGGTTTCGGTCACTGGACTTCTGGCCCATTATTAGTCAACGTGTGTGCAGACGCAAGCTAGCTAACCATGCTAAAACGCCACGGCTTAAAGTGTAGTTATATAGGAGTAAAATAAATACAAACACGGAGTATGGCAATGTTCGTCGACTCCATTAGAATTAAGAAGCACACTGAATTGTCACTTAAACTCCTACCTTAAAGTTACCTCTCTACGTTTGTAGAAAGGTGTTTAACTTGCTAGTTTTAGTTTGTGGTTGTATTTTTACGTTAAAATGAGTTTATATATTATCATACCATTTAAGAAGCAATACAATTCAACAGCGTCACAGACGACAGACTCCAAAACTAGCATAGTGGTGATTCAACACAGCAGTATCAATGAATCCACGTAGTAACTCTAATGCAGGCAGGGTGTGTTGCATTACAGTGCATTCGTTTATGCTCTGTGCGCGTAATAAACTGGTATCTGGGTGTACCTTAGAACTGAATAACAGAATCAATTGTATCCCCATAGTGGAGGAAAGTGAAAACCCTGTTACTCAGAGCTCATATTGACCTAACTAGACGACTTGGGAACTTTTCTATGAATCATAAACTAGGTTAGATTTATGAATTGGGTTCATAATATATGATGATCATAATGTTAACTGCATTGAGCTGCATGATTGTTTGGCTGTAAAATGTCAAAAGATGAAGAAAAAGCAATTCAATCCCAACGATATCCAGTTTATTCTAATAGAAAAAGGAGAAATAAGGCAGCTCCTCGCATTGATGTTTTCAGCGCAATAAGTGTTGTAATATTAAATCCACTGTGTCTTTATTTTTTCGTAGTGTGTCTTCGTATCCAGATCAACCCACAGAACAAAGGAGACTTCCTGTCCATCTCCTCAGAGAGAGCCTTCGCTGACTTCCTATTCGCTCACACCGTCCTGCATCTGGTTGTGATGAACTTCATTGGTTAAAACAGACGTGCGTCTGACTCAGTGTCCTCCCTCTCAGGTGTATATTTCACACGTGCCTTTCTCATTTTAGGAGTTTTTAAAGTTACCATTTTTGCTGGAAGTCACATTCTAGTTCAAACCCCAAATGGAGACGATCACGCTTGTTTGTATTGGTGTTTGAACACATCCAGTCATCGGATGGTATTCTGCAGTAAGCTTTCCTTCCAGCTGTATGCTTTACACTGCTCCAAGTATGATTTGTGCGGCTGTTGGTTTTGACTATTTTCTTGTTTCATATCAAGTTGCAACTAGCACATTTTGGAGCCTTGATGGAGCCCACTAACTAATTAGGCCTGAACGTTCTTTAGTTCTGACATGGTGTATTCAGATTTTTTGAAATAGTTAAACCCTGACTGATCAAGGTCATGAACGCCACCGAATAGTTAGAAGAACTTCTTCTTTGTATGTGTATTGTACGGACGGTATTGTTTCAGAATAAGATAAAATATCTCTGGATCGCGTTGTGTGTGTGTGTGTGTGTGAGATATGCGTCGGTGTTCACAGTGTAGTCTCTCATAATGGGCAATAAATGGTAGAATTTCTCCAGTCAAAGGAGTTGTATGTGGGCTTTGATAGAGGTATACTCATTATATTGGTTTATGCTTGTGAAGCAAGTCTAACATCTCTGCGGGGATCCACATGATGCTTTTGCTTCGCTACAAAACAGTGTTATTGAATTTTTAGACTTGCAAAGGGCATACTGCATTCTCTTCTTTCTCATTTGCTTCTAAATAACTGCTCCCATAACCTAACCACCTCTTCTTTTATTTTTCCATAGATCACGACCGAGAACTTATCAAAACTCCCCTTCAGGACATGGCGCTACATCTGCTTTTGTGCCAGAGTGACATCCCACCATCAACACTGAATTAATTACATCTTGTCACACAAGATACAATTTCCCTGCAGATATGGATTGATTTCTTGTATTCCTTTTTTTTTTTTTTTACATTAAAATTTGTAAAGCATTCCCTTTTGCACTGAGAAGAAGAAGAAGAAGAATAAATAAAAACAACTCAAATGGTTACCTTGAGAATAATGAAGCAGTTCTTGAAAGAAATGCATTTTCTTTTCAACAATAGACTTGTTTTAGGCAACCTAAACCTTTTGAGTAAGGACAGGTGTTTTTCAGTAAAAACATACGTTTGTGAAATATGTGATTCTATTAATTCATTACATGAAATACCAGACGGTATACCCCCTTAACCCCTGTTTATGAGGGTAATGGCTATATAGTCAAATAACAGCCTAAAATATGACTTCTTACATCAGGACTTGGGGGGGGGGGGGGGGGCTACATTTGGAGTTAGCTACAGAAAAAGTTGTTAAAATGATTGATGGGGGAAAAAAATATAACTGCAAAAATTGCTATGCTATCCCTTTTTAGAGAGACCCCACACAGATTGCAACCTTTTTTTTTCCCAGTGTATACCTGAGCCAATGAGCCGTCTGCCCATCATGCTAAGAGAGGGGGAGAGCAAGAACATTGTACCCCAGAGCAATGAGAGGGTTTATGTCCATTACCTGCTCTGGAACACCTGATGGAAACACATTCCAGCTCAGTTTGATTGTGACTGTACAGAGCCACTTAACATTTGTCACAGGCCGCACTGACCTGAGGGGTTCATTTCAGCTCGTTTGGTCTTTGGGTGTGGGCTGTGCGGACCAGTTTGAATTGGATATGGAACTGCCTCACATAAATAGAAAAACAGACTGAATCGAGTTGGAGTCCCATGTTTCTTCTGTAAAAGGTCATCTACATCTCTTCCTACGCTGATTTAATAGCAGACGAGAGAGGTACCCGCCTCTAAATGTTAAAGGGATAACATTAGCACCGGTCCTTTTGAAAGTAGGTTAGCATTAAGTAATGAGAGGTGACTTTGGACATATCGGACCTGGAAGAATTCAAACGAGGAGTTGAGGATACCACATTTCTAAGTTTTTAAAGGAGAGGAATGAGCCTTTATGTGAAAAAGGTCCTGGTTTCCCATCTTTTCATCTATAAGCCACTAATTAAATGTCCTACATTTAGATTAGGTAAAAGTAACTGGAGGCTACTTCCTGTCAGTGGTGGAAGATGTATTCCGATCATTTACTCAAGTAAAAGTAGCAAAACCACTCCAATAAACTCCATTACAAGTACAAGTCAAAATAATACTTCAGTGTACGTTCGTAAGTAATATCAGCAACATTTACTTAAAGATTGGAAGTATAACTACTCGTGCAACATGACCCATGTCACAGTTATATTGTTATATGTTAAACTATTGTACAATGTTACTGGTTCATTAACATGTAAGCCACATGTTAGTGTCTGATTGCTCGAGGTAGAGCACATTCTAGTTATCTTACATTCTGTTTGGTATAGAAAATGCATCTCATGTGATATGGTCATTATAGATTTTTTGGAAACCCGCAAAGTAACTGAAGCTGTCAAGTAAATGTAAAAAGTACAACATATTCCTCTGAAAGGTAGAGTGGAAGTATAACAAGATAAAAGTAGTACTTGAGTATATGTACTACTCACCACTGCTTACTGTACTTTGTGTACAACAGAATTCGATCACAATTCAAATGTCTTGCTGAAAGTAGACACTATTTTAAGGGTGTAATTGATACCGTGGACTTGGACTGTGATATTGTCGTTTTGACTAAACTGCTTCCTCTTCCACTGGAAGGAATACATCTCATTAACTCATCTCAATGTAGAGCAATGGCCCGTTTGGGAACCAAGTACTAGTATTGCATTGAAACCGCTATGTAATGTATACTAGAACCTCAGTGATAAAGACAAACGCTAGGAAGCATCATGGCACCATTTTGCTTCAGCCATACATATGTAAGGTTTGTTTACATTGCCTAACATGAAGGGATGATGGAAGAAAGACTGATAGAAGACCTTTTCCCCCTTACATTATAACCAGGTTGACATGCTCTGTGAAGGAGGAAAGTTGTGACCATCAAGCAAATCCTGTTTAGTTTGATGCAACAATTTACCAAAATCAATCTCTTGTAACACAGAGAAACAGATCTGTAAACCAGCCTTTCACAATGCTGATACTGGGATATGGCAGTGAGCTTGAAAGGCTGTGAATAATTAGTTTTGGGAAAGTTTCGATTCACAAATCTGCCAGGGCTGTCGCAGGAACATGTTCAGTTTCAAGTCTGGGTTCTGCCTACATTTTACCAGGAAATGGATGACCATAAAAGGCCTTGCAGCCAAAGCGAAAAGGGACTTTGGGGACATCCTTGACACCCTTCACAGAGCAAATTGAGAGCCTTGGAATAATTGTTTGTTAATTCGGTGGCTGGCGGTGGGGGGGCGGGGCGCTTAATCCGACAAATGAAGGCTGGACCAAATCCAAAGATTTCAGGCATCAAAATCAAATTATTTCTTTGTAGCCTGCCAAATGAATCCTCTGCATGCATGGTGGGAAGGCGCTCAGCGTTTGGTTGCTTGGGAGGATAGGATATTAACAAAAGATGGCTAACACTGTGACTGAAATGATAAAACAAGAAGATATAAGAGGAAAGACGAACATGTTTACTTACGGACCAAAACTGTAGTTGAAAAGAATAGTTCCACATTCGAAAATAAACTTTTGTTGCTCAGAGTTAGATGAGAAGATCGATTCCACACTTCTCCTCGAACTCTCAGCACAAAAGCTAATGAGTATATTGCCCAAATTGCAACTATTCCCCTGTGGCCTTGATTTCTTGTATATTGTGGGAATCCGGAGCCCAGACCGGAGTGTCGAAGAATACAAAAGATGTCAGCAAATGGGTCACTTCACAGAAATAGTTTTATGGATTTTCACACATTGCCTTTTAAAATGTTGTGTGAGCTGAAAAAAAAAAAAAATACTTTTTAGGTCACAAAAAGAGATCAGACTCATTTACAGAAAGCCATAGACAAATTATGGTATTTTACAAAAGTGCCAAAGCGTTTGCTAGAAGTATTCCTGAGTTTTAAAATCTAATTGGCACCTACATGGTTAATATCTGGAACATCTGGATCCAACTTGTGGTCACATGACCAAAGGGTTAGTGGGATTGCAGAACCTGGAGTCTGTGTTTAGACAAGGGAGAGAGTTCCTCAAACTGACGGCGAAACATGCAACAACCCTTTATCCTCGCCCTCAGCCTGTTATCATGGATCCCAGGTAATAAATAATATAGTAACTGAGAGCATATGTTTATTAGAGTTGTACAATATGCCTTTGTAGTCTTTTTTAGGCAGACAATTGATGAAAAAACAGAGTTAGAATGATTAATGTCTTTGATGCAGCCCCCTCACTTTCGCTTCAGATCTCTTTACTATTTTATCACTTCTCTGTATTAATAATTCGTTAAAGGCCAGACTAGTAAAGTTGTTACTGTTATTTTTCTGCAGGAGCCGGAGAAGGCTTTTATGTTGCTGTTGTTTTTTAATCTTCCAAGCTTCTGTGCCGCTTGCCCATGGCAACATTATGTTTGATGTTTATTTTGCCAAGTCTCCAAAAGCCTGTTATATTTGTCCCCCAAAATCTCTATTTCATAGGAATAATCCAATTTTGAAACAGAGGGAAGTTAAAGTAGTGTTTCGTTACAAAGGAAACCGAAACCATAAATATGGTATGAGTATTGCTCAAGGCCACTTTCCCCGTTCCTCAGTCCTGGAGAAGAAATGTCCACTGCGAGTGTGTTTTAACTGCAGCGTGGCTGAGAGTCTGAGCTCAAGTTGGTGCTCAACACTCAATCATCTCCACTTTCCTTCAGCCTTCCTCTGCAGGGTAACCACCGAGGGAGAGCTCACAGTCATGGAGGGTCAGTCCCTCATCGTCCCGTGTCATTATGACCCCCAGTATGCCGGCTATGTGAAGTACTGGTGCCGGGGGAATACGAGGGAGTTCTGCACCAGTTTAGCTCGAACCGATTCAGCCAATCCAGCCGCGGGGAAAGTGAGCATCTTCGACGACCCGGTCCAGCAGGTGTTCACTTTGACCATGAGCGACCTGAAGGAGGGGGACTCCGGCTGGTACATGTGTGGCGTGGAGATAGGCGGCGTGTGGACCCGCGACGTTGTCGCTTCCACGTACATCAAGGTCATTCATGGTGAGTAATGGAGGGATTTTGAACTGATTAGTGTTTATTGATCGCCGTTGAATGCATTTGGAATGCTTCGATAGCAAATATAAAAAAAGACAGTGTTTGATTTGGTGGCGTCTAGTGGTGTTGTTGTAAATTGCAACCGACTGAACACCCCTCCGCTCACTCCTCCCTTTCCAAGACTCCGGTTAAGTGAGCTGCTGAGTGCAAAAAGAAGGTGGCAATACCGTTGGCCTTGATCACAGGCCATCCATACTATAATAACACTACTTCATGAGCAATGCAAGGCAGACAAAGGTACAACGGTTTAGCCCTTAACGACTCACTTTACCGCACTTTTACAATCATGTTAGGGAACTACGGTGGCCTTCAGGTAACGTTAAATGTTAAATGTTCTCGCCAGAGCCAGTGTTTAGTTTGTCCATTCTGGGCTACTGTAGAAACATGGCAGACTCTGTGAATATGAAGGACTTACAAGGATTCTTAGGTTCAGGTGATTATATACTAATGAAAACGTAGTTATGAATATCACATTCTATTTCTGAGATCACCCAAAATGCTACACAGTGGCCCTTTAAGTTTGCATTCCTTACCTGCAGGTATGTCGGTGGTGAACAGCCGACTGAGTGGGGAAGAAGGGAGTAGTGTCACAGTTGAATGCCGCTACAGTGAGAGATACAGGTATTTTATTGCCGAATTCAAAATATCACGATTGTCAGTTGTTGTTTTACCATCAGACAACGTAGAACCCAAACTTTTAAAAACTACATTTTTAAAGAATCAGCAAACCTGAGAAACTTGGTTGTTTGTTAAAACAATCTTCAATTCAAGCCAAACTGATGGACAGTGAGCCTTCACTGACTCCCCTGTGACTGCTTGCCAACAGAGACAGCGAGAAGAAGTGGTGTCGGAGTGGAGACTGGAGCTCCTGTCTGCTGACTGGTTCTGAGGGGAGCTACGAAGACACTTCAGTGGCCATCAGCGATGACAGAACTAGGGCTTTCACTGTAACCTTAAAGAAGCTGCAGATGAGCGATAGCGGCTGGTACTGGTGCTCTGCAGGACAGCACCAGAAGCTTGTTTATGTGCTGGTCACACCAACACCCACGACTAGTAGGTTGACAAAGAACCCTTGCAATGAAAAAATATGTATAACAAATCTTAGCAATTCCTAATCGATCCATTGTTGAAGTTTCACTAGGCAAGATTTATGTTAACAGTATTAATTGATTCGTTTTTAACACTTGGGGCAGCAGAACAAGCGGACACAATACTTACTGTACATATTATCGCCTTAGGTCTATGAGAGCCATGAGAGTAAGAATCACAAGAAGTTAAGTTGCGGACTGGGAAACCAAAACAACGAGCTTAAAGAAACTAAAATACTCAATAGAGTGCTGCCAGAATGAGTCATGAAACACAGAGATGAGTTAGCATTTTTGCCTTTCCGCCTCATTTGGAAGTCATTGGGTTTTTTGAATGTTTTTTTTAGTTAGATGTCTGTAATTAGGTCTGTAGTTAACAGAAGCTTAAGGGATTTTAACGTTTCGTTCTACGACATAAAATACGTCAACAAATACACCACTCTTGAATTTGTACGTGTCTTAAAAAAGGCAGTTGTTAACAAGTGGCTAAATGAGACTACGAAACGTCAACACGCCACGCCGCACACTAGGGCAACTTTACCATAGTGAAGTCCTGTGATCACAGTGTAGTTTGTTTGTAGCCTAACGTTCGCTTTTCTTCATCTGGCAATTGTTTTTACCCTTCAAAAATCATAAAAGTGGTTTCCCTTCATCAAGATTATCTAGCTTAAACCTTTATTTTCTTTACTAACCCAACATCCTATGAACACATCTCATTGGCTTTCTGTTGAGGGAACCAGTGCGATTCTAACTTCTCGGTTGGCCTTTAAAAATACCTCATCCCTGCAGCACTCTATTAAGGTGTGGGACACTGCAGAGTTGGATGATAATTCTCTGTGAGTTTGTCACTAATAGCTACCACTTTCACACTAAGCATATCAAAATCAGTCCAATTCTCACATGCTGTGCTTTCAGTCTGGGAAACCTCTTTTTAAAAATCCGTTGAGCTTATCGGGTGAAAACCAGACAAATCAGTGTACCATGGAGAGTTGATTAGATGGTGATCTGACTCACAAATTCAAACTCTCGAATTTTATTAAAAGCTATTTAAACCAGGCATTGTATGTATGAAGAGAGACCCAATTCTGCTGCTACATGGCTTCTTCCCCACGTTCATCACTCTGCAGCGGCTGAATGAGAAGTAGCCAAGAGCGGCTCTACAGATAAATATGTGTTTGTGACAGATGCCGGGGACTCTTAGGTGTCCCGCTGTACAAAGGTATTGATTATCACGAGTCACTTATCAAGGCATATTGATGTTATGAACTCTGAGGGTGCTGCTACATTTTGCTTAAAATAGTACATCATTTTTTCAGCTACACTGTGTTTATCTTCAGCTGCAGTGACTGCGACATCCCCACTTACACCGAGTCAGTCTGCTGCATACCTGCCTCCACCCAAACCCATCACGAAGGAGTCCTGGAACAGTCACAGGCAAGAGGAGTGAAGCTCAGCTTTATGCTTGTGCTTTAAAACTGCCGTTCATGAGAAATCTGTCATCATTTTGGCCGTCATGTAACTATGTAAAAACAGACGCAGCATAGGCCTGAGCTGTTCTTGAAGCTGGACTATGTGTTCAGACCACTGAAAGCTTTGTGTCTGTGTTTTAGTCACATCTTGGAGACTTTGCTGGTGTGTGCCTTCATCATGTTTATCGTGGGCTTGGCCATATGGGTGAGAAAGTTGTGGAGACGACACGGTAAGGCAGCTTCTCTTTCCTCTGAATATCAAATCTGGGCAGAATCATACCACTAAGTTCAACTATAGGACTATGAGATATGGCACATGCTGAGAAATATATTTGCATTATCATTTGTTGCTTAAATATCCTCAATATCCATTTCTAGGGCAGGATCCTGTGCTGAGACAAGTGAATATGATAAAAGCAAGGCACAATGTAACAATCTGTCACTTTTCCATTTCACATTAAAGATAAACATTATTATCAAGGTTATGCTTAAGAGATTATTATCGTAATCATTTTTCTTTTCTCTCATTTGTAGGGGTACTCAGGGGACGTAGGTGACCCACAAAGCGCTGCTGTCGTTTCCCAGGAGTACTGAGCTTTGCCACTGTAGTGTTTACTGTTACTCTTTGTAACTGGATGTAATTTTTGTGTCGGTTCACTGCGCACAGCTCATGCTTTATTTCCACTGTCTTTTGTACATTACATATAGATGGTAAAATGGTAAATGGACTGTAATTGTATATCACTTTTCTAGTCTTCCAACCGCTCAAAGCCCTTTATAAAGACAGATTCAATGAGGTTTTCTGATTGCTGCTTTTCATATGCAACTGGCAGATGCTGGAGATCTTACAAGTATACTTGTAAGAATTTATCAAAATATAATCTTGTGGTCTTTAATTTAATTTTTTTTGTCAGAAGCAGCATTGTAACTACCACTAATGGCACTGAGGTCATGTATTTTCATATTTTTTGTTGGAATTTGGGTATTGTATCTTACAGATTACATTCTAACTGAAAATAATAACAATAAAAAACAACAAAAAAAAAAACATTCTCAAATACAATACATCAATAAAAACATTTTTGATTCGATATTTCTACGCTAGATTGTAATCAATGTGGGAAAACACTTATTTAACAGGTCCATTATTGACTGATTATTTTCAATAAAGTTCCGTGTAAAGAAATTAGCAAGTTGGTGCTATTCATAGGGAAAATAGAGATAATAGCCCCTTTCACACATGCACTGCAACCCTGAACTTATCTAGACTTTAGCCTTAGGAGCTGTATGTGAGAATGCAAATGTCCGAATCAGTTAGACCAGACATTAAGCAGACTTAACCCTGCTAGCACAAAGTCTGTGTAATGTCTGATTAAGCCCATGTGCGAATAGACGTGGGCATTGTTGGCAGAATTCATGGCGAGTGAGTGGGTGTGTTGGATATCGTTTCTGTGATGCGATTGGCGCAAAGCTGGAAGAGTACAAACACCCGAGGGTGAAGTAGCAGGGTCATTAATGCGAACGAAGACGCCAAAGGAAAAGTGTAACTGCAGAGACGACGAGATTTGGGACGCTAAAACTTTCAGAAGAATTCGAGGATCAGAAAGAGACCTGGTTGTGTATGACTAAATAATGAACTGATTATGTGACTGTTGTGTAATCCGAGCCAAGGGGCAGGTGATACAATATTACAAGAGCGGTGACAAAGAGAAGAGAAGCAAAACTCTCTCGGGTGCTTTCCTGACAATTGCACCCTAGATAGCACCGCGGTAGTAATAAAAACTTATTAGATATGAAGTAATGTATGGTTTGTGCATTTTCATGGTTTTGTATGGACAGACACATGGAAGGTGGGAGAGAGGGAAAGGGGATAACATGCAGCAAAAAGCCCCGGACTGGAATCGAACACGAGCCCTTTGCTGCGGAAAGGACTTATCCTCAATAGATCCTCGACACATGATGTTTTTCAACGAGGTCAACGAAAAGTGGTAAGGATACAAGGCATTAGGAGGTAATTTAGTCACTATTTGACCTCCAGCTATGTGCTCAGCCAGGTGAGCTACCAGGGCGCCCCCTGCTGGCGTAAATATAAACCAGAGGTCACGTTAACCGAATAGTTTCGGTCTCCAGTCCGTTGTTTTGACAGACTGGAGACCTTGGAACGCGTCTGTTAGTACGGGTCACCGAGCGGTGCCAGTGAAGCTGCGGCACTTCTGCAGAAGAAGAGCATGATGGGTAATTTCCCCGTGTTCCCACATTCAGAGAGTCTGTTAAGTCCAGTCTCCAGTGTGGCACCAAAGTGTGGGTTCAGCCTTCATAACAAAATTTAAATGACCATGAGAGGTTGTCTGTTGCAAATATGGAAAAAATCATTCATCTGCTTCATGTATGTTGACATGAAAAGTGACCGCACGGTCGGTGTTGTGTGTGTGTTCTTATTTTTTGTGACGGAATTTTTGCAACACTGTCTGTCAAAATAATAGGCAATGAGAAAGTCTAATGCAACACTGGATTACATTTCTGCATGACGTGGGACGTACTGTATGAAGCTTTTTGGTATGTCTGTGCCTATATGCATACATGCTGTACCAAGATCTTCTCTGACATCAGATTTGTAATGTAATAAACCTCATTTCAAGTTTTCCACATCATGTATGTAATGAACCATGCTGCTCAAGAAACAATACCCTTCAGGACTAATGACTTCAGGAATAATAATGATTACACTGGTCATGTACACTGACTACCCCTGGTTTTTAGATAGCATTGTTATGGGAATTATTATCAGCTCCAAACAGCTTTGTATTTGTTGTGTCCATCTGTTGCACCAAAACAAGTCCAATGTGAATAAATAATAAGTGCAAGTTGGTATTTCTTGTCTGCACAGAAGCCCCATGGGACAGTACATTTTCAGCTTTGGTTGCTATTTTAGCAGAACTAGAAAGCAAAGTGTACTGCATAACAAGATAATCAAATGGCTAATTAACACATTTAGGCATAGATACATGGTCGGTTTGACAAAAAACTTGTGGAAGCAGAGTCAGACAACGTGAACATTATTATGAGACTTTCTTATGTGAGCAAATGAAGACGAAAACCATACGATAGAGCTCCCAAATTAACTCTGCATTTCATGCTTGAACTGTCTGCTCTCATTCTGAACCTCAAACGTGTTAGAATTGTAAATTGAACAAGCTAATGAGTCGACCAAAACTGCTGGTCCAACTAGAGCTTGGAACTCTTAGTAATAACTGTCTTCCCTTCAAATGAGGAAAGGCCATTTTGTTGTGTGGAATACAGATACATTTATTTACATTCAGTGTTACTTTATGGGGTCATGTAGACTGCTTGCACCCGTATCCTTCACTCAAACTAATCTCTCGCTTTTCAAGACCTTTCATCACTCATGACCAGTGCTGCTGCAGGAAATTGACCAGCTTGTACTTGATGTTGGGTTTGCATCATTTGCATTGCAACCAAAGTTAATTCTGCATTCAGTTATGCCTACTTCTTGTTGTTAAGTTGACTGAGTCATCTGTATACCAGCAGGCATCTTGACCAGGTGCCCGAACCACCACAGCTGGCCCCTTTCAACGCTATGGAGCAGCGACTCTACTCCGAGCTCCCCACGGATGTCTGAGATCTTTACCATATCTCTAAGACTGAACCCAACCACCCAATGAAGGAAGCTCATTTTGGCAACTTCTGTCACTATCCCAAGCTCATGACCATAGGCGAAGGTCAGAATGTAGATGGACTGGTAAATCGAGAGCTTTGCCTTCTGGCTCAGCTCCTTCACCACGACAGCCCTGTACAAATCCAGAGGTACTTGAACTCCCTCGTTTGGGGCAGCGACTCACTCCAAACTCAAAGGGTTCAATCCAAACAATCCAACGTTTTCTAGCAGAGAACCATGGCCTCAGACTTAGAGGTACTGAATCTCATCCCGACCACTTTAAACTCGCCTACAAAACGCCCCAGTGCGTGATGAATGGTACAGAACCACTCATCTACAAAGAGCGGTGATACCCCGATAATTGGAGCACACTCTCTGGTCCCCTTTTTAAAAAATTGTTACCACCACCCCAGTCTGCCACTCCACAGGTACTGTCCCTGACTTCCATCCGACACTGAAGAGGAGTGTCAGCCAAGACAGCCCAAAAATGTCCAGAGCCTTCAGCGTCTCAAAGAAAATCTCATCCACCCCTGGCACCTTGTCGCCAATGAGCTTTTTGACTAGCTCAGCGACCTTTACCATGGATATGGATGGGTTTTCCCCCAAGTCTTCAAACTCTGCCTCCTCCACAGAGGATGTTTTGGTTTTGTTCAGGACTTCCTCCAAGTGATCTTTCCCCCGCTCAACAACATCCCCAGTCCAGGTCTGCAATTATCCTCCCCTGCTGAACACTGCCTGAGCCAAGCCCTGCTTTCCCTTTATGAGTCGTCTAACGGTTTGCCTGAACTTCCCCAAGACCAACCAAAAGTCGTTCTCAATAGTCTCCCCCAACTCCCCCCACATTGAGGTTTTTGCTTTTGGCAACCCCCGCAGCTGCAACCCTTCTGGCCAACTGGTACCAGTCTGTGGTTTTCGGAGACCCCGGGGCCAGCAAAGTCCGAAAGGCCTCCTTCTTTAGCTTGACCGCCTCCTTGGTGCCCAACAACAGATTCTTAGGCTGCCTCCACAACAGCCACAACTCCAAGCAGCGGCTTCCACAATCGAGGCTTTGAACATGGCCCACTCGGATTCCATGTCCTCAGCCACCACTTGGAGGTGAGAGTTGAAGACCTTAAGTCCTGGCAAGATCAGTCAAGAAATACACAACAACAACAACATCTCCCGACAGAACACCACCACAGTGGAATTTCAGCCTGCATGGACGTTCTTTCAGCCCAACATTATTGACAACAGAGCAGCTAATATCTGTAGCGAGAGCAACAAGCTAGTGGACTGCAGAGTGCCGTCTCAGCTCCATGCACAAGGAGTGTGTGTAAGCTCCACCCTCCAGACAGAGGAGAGAAAAGAAACAAGTGTGACAGACAGTAAATGACAGCAAAATACAGTTCTCACTGAGCTGAAATTAAACCAAACTCGCAATCATTTTCTGTCATTGCATTGATGCAGAGTTGTTCATGCCCACACACATTTCCACACCTCTTGACAGGTTAGAGCAGCCACACAGCCAGAGAGAGCAGTGCGGCTGCAGCCGCTGAACTGCTGCGGCTCGTAGCATTGTGGTGTTCACACAAAAAAGCATTGCTGCTGTGGCTCACCAACTGCCAGCCCTCAACAGATCATCTTCACTGTCTATTTTTGCAGAGAACTGTGCAATTCACGGGTAAAAATAAATAAATAGGTGACATAGGCTGAAAACATTTTTTTCTAAATATGCTTTATTGCTCCCTTGCAAAAAGAAGTTTCCAAACTCAACAAGACTTACCTGGTTGAATAAATATTGAAGTAAAGCTTATGTCAGAGGAACAGGGTAATATGATTATTTAAGAAACCACTACATCATTAGTAATGCTATATAAATAGGGATTTTCTTTGATTTCGACCAATTATAATAAAACATTTCTTATCATTGTCATGGTTGGAATAACCATTAATCATTGTTCTCTTTTGGAAATAATTGCAATTAAAACGTCACGGCACCTGTGAGGGATTTGTCATTTTTTTATGAAATCAAATGTTTGCAGTGATACATGTAGGCCTCTGTTTTTTTTGTTTTTAAAAATGAAAATAACTATTTGTGTTAGGGTGCCTCATGATTTGGCGGGTGCTTTATCTACACTTCTATTCTTTTCCATTATACTGTGCTGCATTCTAATCTATCATGTTCCATTTTATTATATTCTGCTTTGTTCCACAATGTTGTATTATATTCCACATTATTTTATTATGTTCCATTACATTATGTCCTATGTCATTGTATTCTACTCTACTTATTTCTATTCTCTTCCATTATATTCGGTTGTTTTTCATTATATTCATTTATATTTTTTCTATTGTATTTTATTGAATTATATTATAATCTGTTACATTTTATTATGTTTTGCCCATTTTCCTGCTCTTTGTATTATGCTCGGTTTCATTCTTTTATGTTCCGTTTTATTTTGTCCTGTTCGATTCAATTTCATTACATACTGTTCTATTTCATTCAATTCCTCTCTGTTCCACTTTATCTTATTCTATTATTTTCTGTTCTATTCTGTTCCGTTACATTCTATTCCATTCTGCTCTGTTCTATCTTATACTACTTTATTAATATATTTTGGTTTGTTGAATTATGTACTCTATTCTGTTTTATTTACTGTGTTTTATCCAGTCTACTCTCTGTAGTCCACTCTAGTCTAAGTGAGGGCCACCAATGTGTTGATGTTACAGGGTTACAGGGACTTAGTCATTACTATAAATGGAATCAGTTCTGCCACTAGATGGAGGTCAACCCTGTATGAAATATGTTCTTTCTGTTATATATTGCCGTGTGTGTGTGTGTGTGTGCATGTCTGTTCATGCAAAGAAAATGTTCCCTTTACCTGACCAAACATCTCAGATAATCTGAAGGAAAAAAATGACAACAAGCCAGAGGCTGTTGCTTGTCACTACAGAGTTCTACACAGAAAAATACAGGCTTTAAACATCTTAACATTCATGCATTTTTGATTTAATATGAAAACATCCCAGTTCCTGCTCATGCATTAGGAATTACATTTCTGAGACGGTTCCCTTGAGTCTTGCCATTTGAGGGCATCAACAATCAATACATTCGTACTCTCCTTGTGC